AATGACATGGCTAAGTTGAACAATCAGAGGACAAAGCAATTTATATATGTAAATGTATCTCCGTACACATATATAATTGAGACTGACTTGAAAATATTCACTGTATATAGGAAAAAGGACTGAGGGAAAGTTCTTTAAATGTTAACAGCTGGTGTCTATGAATTATAGAATTACATATAGTTTTATTTGCTAGCCTCTTCTGTAATTTTCACATTATTAGAAATAAGTATTGCCCCCTTAGAAAGTTAGAGGCACATATGAATTTTACAAATGTATTTATAGATGTTGAGACACAGGGGAAAATACATACTGTTGGAATTTGTGAATTTTACCCTGGCTTAGATGTGAAGTTAGAGAATTACTGATGTGATTTCTTTTCTTCAGAAAGATTAAAAGATCAGGAACGATACAGATCTTACTATTATTTTCTATATTAATTAAGTCCCAAAGAAAATGTCTGCCTTTCAGTTCTGTGGATTGCCATTTTTATTTCCAGGCTCTGGAACATGTTTCTTGGGCAATCTTGAATGTTTTCTACATGTAGCTTGTGAGATGTCTGTCTTCCAGATCAGCAGGTCAGGGATCCTGTGAAGACCTCTCTGTTTCCCCTGTTTGCAGACAACAATGGAAAATAATATCTGGACAGTGTCAAATTAAGTTGAAATTTGGAGTGGCTTTAGGTCTCTTTGGGCAATTTCTTAGTGAAACTCTTTATTTTTGGCTGTTTAGAGACATAACTAAATATAAAAAAGCCTAGAAACCACTACAATATGATTATCAAATACTTCGTGCACACGAAATGTAGCAGAAATGTTAAATAATGAAATCAACCGGACATGGCCACTTCAGAGAAGATAAAATGTACTTTTGCCTTTCTCCATTTCTAATTTTCCTCCTTCAGGGTAATAATGTAGGCTGTGATTTTTGAAGAGCAATAGCACCTCTGCTGTCCTGAGCTCTCTCCGCTCTTCAGAGGGCCAGTGTTGATTCTAAGCACATCACTGGTTTAATGGTTTAGAAAACTGTTTTGAGTCAAAAGTCAATTTTGTGCAAATAAGCTATGATTGCTGAGGTTTAACTCATTCATTATTAAATATTTGTTAAGAATCTGCATTGACCTGGGTACCATTTTAAGGTATGAGATAAAACAAGATTGAGCGTGGCAGCTATTCATAAGGAGATCACAGTATAGTTGAAATCATTGAATCAATAGCCAAACTCTGTCTTTATGCTTTGTATTTACATCTCCTTATTTAATGCAACAAAACTGAGTTTTTTCTTTTTAATCTACATTACACAGCTGAGAAAACTTAGGCTCACGTTGGTTGAAAAATATGAGTGAGGTCACTGTAGCAGTCAGTTCTTCTGGAAATGGTGCGTAAAATACCAACCCAGACAGTGACAGGAAAACACTAATATTAGTTGATTCATGGAGACATTTAGCTAGATGCACCTGAGGCCCTTCTGGATTTACTGTTATGAGAGATGAAAATTTAAAAAGCCCAAATAATTGTTGAAGTCAGTCTGAACTGCATCTAGCTATTCAATCTCTCAGATAGAATTCATCTTCTGTTTCTCCACTCTAAGCTGGGCTAGTCAAGGCATCTCTACCTCATTCCCTGCCACACTCTCCTCCACTGGCTGACAAAACCCCTGAAGTCCATAGTCATTTATGTTCCCTACTGGAAATGCTCAGGCCTGCCTGGAGATGGTGCTCGGAGGATACTCACCGGCTCTAGACAAACTTGTTTCCTGACTTCAGTGGGATATGATGGGTGTTGTTAGACACGGGTCAGGATTTCACTCATCTGTGAGACCAGCCTTTTGTCTGTGTCACTGGTACATGCTTAAATGAGAAACAGAAAATGGATGGAAGTATTTTTCTTTGGTTTGCTCTGCATTTGTGATTTTTTTTTTCCATTTATTTTTATTAGTTGGAGGCTAATTGCTTTACAATATTGTAGTGGTTTTTGCCATACATTGACATGAATCAGCCATGGATTTACATGTATTCCCCATCCCGATCCCCCTTCCCACCTCCCTCTGCACCCGATCCCTCTGGGTCTTCCCAGTGCACTGGGCCCGAGCATTTGTCTCATGCATCCAACCTGGGCTGGTGATCTGTTTCACCCTTGATAATATTCATATTTCGATGCTGTTCTCTCTAATAGCATCCACAGTGGCTCCATATGGCCTGAGCCCTTTCGGGAAAGGCAATGTTCTAGTGTATAACATGACATATTCCCAAAAATTAGGAATGAAAATAATTTTCACAACTTTTCAAAAAAAGTTGGCTGCTTTTAAACATTGCATGTCCTTTAATGAAGGTGACCGTATATGCCAGGTAGGGGCCTCTATTGCTACTGTGACTTTCTTTCCCTCCTAGAAGCTTCTGATTTGGATGACAAGTTCATGGACAGGTGGAAGCACAGAAGAAGGAGGTCCCATGCAGTGTGCACATTTGCTTTGCTCCAGCTGTGGCTTCTCCCTTGGGAGTCCCCTTGCTGCTGTCCTGGTTATCATTTCATTATGACTCTATCAGCTTGACTTTTGCTGCTTGATCTTTCAGGGGAAAATATTAGGATATTTTAATTAAATATTGTGATCTTAGGAGATAGAATTTTCAGAGTGTAAAATAGCTGTATTGCTGATCCTGTTCATGATGCCAGTTGCCTTGCTGTTCACACTGTTTGCACTGTTTGTTGAACCCAGGGTAGGCAAGGCATAAGCTAAGAGGCTGGAAAAAGACTCGAGGAGTGGTAGGAACTGCAGACCCATTTATTTTCTCCTGGCTGACATAGCAGCCATAGTAGCATTCTCTCATGGCTGGTGTAGCAGCCATAGCAGCAGACACTCTGTATTTTCTCCTCTTATCACTGACTCTATGGACATAGCCTTGTCGCAGCAGTAATATCCACTATTTTCTAGGTGGAGCTCATGTATATGTCTACCACATGCAACCTGTGACCAAGTGAGTACCTCATGATGTGAGGTACATAAACAATCTCAACTGTTACATAGTCAGTTCAGTTCAGTTCAGTTCAGCCACTCAGTCGTGTCTGACTGTTTGCGACCCCATGAACTGCAGCACGCCAGGCCTCCCTGTCCATCACCAACTCCCAGAATCCACCCAAACCATGTCCATTGAGTCTGTGATGCCATCCAATCATCTCATCCTCTGTCCTCCCCTTCTCCTGCCCTCAATCTTTCCCAGCAGCAGGGTGTTTTCCAATGAGTCAGCATAGTCATTATTTACAAAACATGGGACGAAAGCCTGAACATGCCATCTTGGCCAATTTGATCTTGCCTCACACTATGTGCAGTCCATCTTCTGCGATGTTCCCTTGGCGAATAACACTGACCCTTGGATTTACATCTTGCTACAGCAGTAACTACAACGACAATCAGTTACACCCCCAATACAAAACAAAACCCAACTGCAGGTATCACCTGGAACTCATGTTGTAGTCCTTGCCCTCATGGGGCTAGAAAAGCCAGTCACCACATGTGGCGCACCTTTATTTTACATGACCAAGTCCAGTCCACCATCTGTCCTTTGAAATTGCGGGAAAGCCTCCATGGGGGCAACTCCACTCCTGCGGCATTTTATTAAGGACACATAAAACCCCTCACAGGTGCTGCGCCAACTCCTTCAAGGAGGGATTTTTGTGGCATTCACAGCCCACCCAAAGGTTCCAAATACTTTCCCACTGTTCTAAATCTGCAAGAGAGTCCGAGGGTAGTAGCACATCACAGGACACAGCCTTTACAGCATCATGTCCTACTAAACCTACTTCACAGGACACAGCCTTTACAGCACACTGTTCTACATAAGACACAGTCTTTACAGTATACCTCTGCACAAACCAGTCCACTTTTGCATCCCCATAAACTGGATGGAACCCCTGCCAGCTCGGGCCTTCTTTCGGGGTCTTCAGACTTTCAAAATGGCATCTCATATGCCATCCCTCTACTTCTCTCAATAAGGACCCACAAAATGCCCACAGATGTTGGGCCCATCCCTGTGTCCCAAAGTCACAGAGCCATGTTGCCAAGGGTTCCTGATGCATTTGCCAAAACTGTTTACTCAAATAGACCAACTCTGCCTGAGTGTGTGGTTGAACTCCCATTTGCCGAACAAAGTGGCATGGACCGTCACTGGCACCATGAGGTGGATTTTCCTACTGCCCTGAAGGCGAATATGAACTGTGCCCTATGCAATGCCACACCAGTGTGCAATGTGCAAAGACACTTGGAAGAACTAGAGCAATGTATGTTGGCATTAGAGCAAGAACCCCATGGGTCTGAATAACCCAGCATCTCTGAGAGGCAGTAAGTGACTTAGACGATGAACGTTATGAGACCATGTGTCCCTGCTTGGCAGTGAGATCCATTATGCAGCAGAAAGTGAAACACAGTATTCTCTCATGGTTGGTGCAGGAGCCGTGGCAGGAGACATGCTATATTCTCTCCTTTTGTGCCTGACTTAATGACACAGCCATTACGCAGCACTAGTATGTCACTGCTTTCTAGGTGGAGCTCACATATATGCACACTGCTGTGACCCAGGGGGGCCTCCTCAAGGGGCCCCCAGTGTGACTGATTCAGGACATATCGACCATATACTCTGGCAGAGTTGGTCAACTTGGGTAAGCAGTTTTGGCAAATGCACTGGGAACCCTTGGCAACATGGCTTTTGTGAGGAAAAACTGCGTGGAATGGCAAACATGACTGGACTCTATTATCATTCTAAAGTGAGCCTAAAAGTATTGACTCCACAGCATCTAGTCTGTGTGAATTTCTGTTTGTCTTTCTAGTGTGGTTTAGCCTGGGGTGGAAAATTGTCTCTAATTATCTTAAACTCCAACTTTTTACAATTCAAATATAACATGTGAAGTTTACCACTGATTCTTGGGACACATTCTTGGATCTAGCTGTAACCACCAGTGAACACATCCTTCAGTTTTTGTTAATGACCCTTCCTTCACTGTGTCTTTCAGGTCTCACCCTCCTTTCTCCCAGGTCTTCAGCTCCAGGTCTAAAGACCCCTGCTTTACAGAAAGCACTCCTTTGCTGAGGAATTTCTCACAAGAAAAAGGGTGAGGTTTTTTTTTTTTTTTCTTCCTTGCTTGCTTTCTTAAAAAATTAAGAAATCTCTGAGCATTACACTTATGCTGGAGAATAAGATGAATTTTTACCTGACATGTTTGACCTCTGATAGATCCTTGTCAATTCAATGTGTGTCCATGATTCTAGTGGTTGTATTCTGTGCCTTATGAATTTCCAAATAACCTTGATCATAACCTTGCCATGACTGCACAGAACATGCACACACTCATGGTGCAAACAGCTCTGACAGGCTGTCTATGACTGCACAGCACATGCACACAGTCATGGTGCAAACAACTCTGATAGGCTGTCTATGACTGCACAGCACATGCACACACGCATGCGTGCACACAGCTCTGACAGGCTGTCTATGACTGCACAGCACATGCACACAGTCATGGTGCAAACAACTCTGATAGGCTGTCTATGACTGCACAGCACATGCACACACTCATGGTGTACACAGCTCTGACAGGCTGTCTATGACTGCACAGCACATGTACACACTCATGTGTGCACACAGCTCTGACAGGCTGTCTATGACTGCACAGCACATGCACACATGCATGCGTGCACACAGCTCTGACAGGCTGTCTATGACTGCACAGCACATGTACATACTCATGGTGCACACAGCTCTGACAGGCTGTCTATGCCTGCACAGCACATACACACACGCATGCGTGCACACAGCTCTGACAGGCTGTCTATGCCTGCACAGCACATGCACACAGTCATGGTGCAAACAACTCTGATAGGCTGTCTATGACTGCACAGCACATGCACACACTCATGGTGCACACAGCTCTGACAGGCTGTCTATGACTGCACAGCACATGCACACAGTCATGGTGCAAACAACTCTGATAGGCTGTCTATGACTGCACAGCACATGCACACACTCATGGTGCACACAGCTCTGACAGGCTGTCTATGACTGCACAGCACATGCACACAGTCATGGTGCAAACAACTCTGATAGGCTGTCTATGACTGCACAGCACATGCACACAGTCATGGTGCACACAGCTCTGACAGGCTGTCTATGACTGCACAGCACATGCACACAGTCATGGTGCACACAGCTCTGACAGGCTGTCTATGACTGCACAGCACATGCACACAGTCATGGTGCACACAGCTCTGACAGGCTGTCTATGCCTGCACAGCACATACACACACGCATGCGTGCACACAGCTCTGACAGGCTATCTATGCCTGCACAGCACATGCACACAGTCATGGTGCAAACAACTCTGATAGGCTGTCTATGACTGCACAGCACATGTACACACTTATGCGTGCACACAGCTCTGACAGGCTGTCTATGACTGCACAGCACATGCACACAGTCATGGTGCACACAGCTCTGACAGGCTGTCTATGACTGCACAGCACATGTACACACTCATGGTGCACACAGCTCTGACAGGCTGTCTATGACTGCACAGCACATGCACACATGCATGCGTGCACACAGCTCTGACAGGCTGTCTATGACTGCACAGCACATGCACACATGCATGCGTGCACACAGCTCTGACAGGCTGTCTATGACTGCACAGCACATGTACACACTCATGGTGCAAACAGCTCTGACAGGCTGTCTATGACTGCACAGCACATGTACACACTCATGGTGCAAACAGCTCTGACAGGCTGTCTATGACTGCACAGCACATGTACACACTCATGTGTGCACACAGCTCTGACAGGCTGTCTATGCCTGCACAGCACATGCACACACTCATGCATGGACACAGCTCTGAGAGGCTGTCTTGAGAGATCAGGGCTTCTCAACTGGAGTTGAGGTTGGCACTGTCAGGAGACATTTTTGTGTCACAAATGGGGAAGCAGTACTACTAGCATTTATGGCAGAGGGCAGGAATGCTGCTAAACATACTGCAATGCACAGAACACCTCCCCACAATAAAGAATTATCTAACTCAAATGTCAATAATTATAAAGTTGAAAGTGTATGATTTGAAAGAAAACTCTACTTCTTATAAGTTCCATTTGAGGATAAACCTGCCTGGTTCTGAAACCAATAAGCAGAGCTGCTCTGTAGGATGAGTTACAGACTGTCTCCCTTAGGGTGAACCCTAATGCAGTCCTCCAATTCGTCTCCTCTTCCTTCTGCAGGCAAACTTCCAGAAACCTGAGTCACCTCATTGGTGTTCTCCGATTGCTCACACATTGCAATCTTGGGACATTATCCTGGACCTTCTTTTCCTGCCCACTGACCCTTGCACTCAGCCTCCCTCCCACAGCCTCTGAGGAACTTCCCACCTTCTCCCTAGCTCTGTCTGTAACTGTTTGGGGGCCTTCACCATGTAGGGTGCATCAGAATTTGAGGGTGCTCATATGCCATGTGGGTTCCTGGTCTCACTGTCCAAAGACTCAAGTTCACAGGAATTTGATAGGGTATAGGAATCTTGATTGTCACCTTCCAAAGCAGAGCCACTCTGGCTTCTTCCAGGAAACTCTTGATGACAAGTTGTGTTTCCCTGAAAAAGTTCCCACTGAGTCCATTTTACGAGAGGGAACTCCTCTCCTCCTTGGTTCTCCAGGTCAGGCCCACTCAAGTTTAAGGGGGCTCAAATGTCACCTCCTTTGTAAAACCTTGGTTCCTCCACAGCTCATTCAAGAGTCAATGCTCCTTCTTCTTTGCTCTCAAGCACCAAATGCATGTCCTGAGTTTGGAACTTGTCCTTGTGTTACTGTGATTATGCCTGCCAGCCTGAGTCCTCTTCATCCCATCCTAGCACCTAGCAAGGCCTCTGCCACCAGGGAGATAACAACTCTCATCTCTCCTAATGAGTAACTTTGAAAATGAACACTTCACCCATCTATTCCCTTCAGTGCTTTCCTTTGAATTACTTGGTAAACTGTTAAGGCCTGAGACATTTTCAACTCATGATTCTCTAGAAAACCAAGAACTCATGAACATGAAACCTTTTATCCTGAGCTTGGTTCACAACCCAGATAATCACAAAGGTGTGATCACTCACCTAGAGTCAGAGATCCTGGAATGTGAAGTAAAGTGGGCCTTAGAAAGCATCAGTACGAACAAAGCTAGTGGAGGTGCTGGAATTCCAGTTGAGCTAATTCAAATCCTGAAAGATGATGCTGTGAAAGTGATGCACTCAATATGCCAGCAGATTTGGAAAACTCAGCAGTGGCCACAGGACTGGAAAAGGTCAGTTTTCATTCCAATCCCAAAGAAAGGCAATCCCAAAGAATTTCAAACTACTGCACGATTTCACTCATCTCACACGCTAGTAAAGTAATGCTCAAAATTCTCCAAGCCAGGCTTCAGCAATACATGAACCGTGAACTTCCAGATCTCCAAGCTGGTTTTAGAAAAGGCAGAGGAACCAGAGATCAAGTTGCCAACATCCTCTGGGATCATCGAAAAAGCAAGAGACTTCCAGAAAAACATCTATTTCTGCTTTATTGACTATGCCAAAGCCTTTGACTGTGTGGATCACAATAAACTGTGGAAAATTCTGAAAGAGATGGAAATACCAGATCACCTGACCTGCCTCTTGAGAAACCTGTATGCAGGTCAGGAAGCAACAGTTAGAACTGGACATGGGACATCAGACTGGTTCCAAATAGGAAAAGGATTATGTCAAGGCTGTATGTTGTCACCCTGCTTATTTAACTTATATGCAGAGTACATCATGAGAAACGCTGGGCTGGAAGAAGCACAAACTGGAATCGAGGTTGCTGGGAGAAATATCAATAACCTCAGATATGCAGATGACACCACCCTTATGGCAGAAAGTGAAGAGGAACTAAAAAGTCTCTTGATGAAAGTGAAAGAGGAGAGCGAAAAAGTTGGCTTAAAGCTCAACATTCAGAAAACTAAGATCATGGCATCTAGTCCCATCACCTCATGGGAAGTAGATGGGGAAACAGTGAAAACAGTGTCAGACTTTTTTTGGGGGGCTCCAAAATCACTGCAGATGGTGACTGCAGCCATGAAATTAAAAGTTGCTTACTCCTTGGAAGGAAAGTTATGACCAACCTAGACAGCATATTAAAAAGCAGAGACATTACTTTGCCAACAAAGGTCTGTCTAGTCAAGGCTATGGTTTTTCCAGTAGTCATGTATAGATGTGAGAGTTGGACTGTGAAGAAAGCTGAGCACTGAAGAATTGATGCTTTAGAACTGTGGTGTTGGAGAAGACTCTTGAGAATCCCTTGGACTGCAAGGAGATCCAACCAGTCTATCCTAAAGGAGATCAGTCCTGGGTGTTCTTTGGAAGGACTGATGCTGAAGCTGAAACTCCAATACTTTGGTCACCTTGTATGAAGAGTTGACTTGTTGGAAATGACCCTGATGCTGGGAGATTGGGGGCAGGAGGAGAAGGGGACGACAGAGGATGAGATGGCTGGATGGCGTCACCGACTCGATGGACATGAGTTTGGGTAAACTCTGGGAGCTAGTGATGGACAGGGAGGCATGGCGTGCTGCGATACATGGGGTCGCAAAGAGTTGGACATGACTGAGTGACTGAACTGAACTGAACTGACTGGAACACAGAGGTCTTGGGATGCTGAGCGCTGTCTCACATCACAGTTCAGAAGCAGAACATGGATATTACATATTGGTTTCACATAGCCTAGTTTGCATCTTTGAGCTTCTCCTTATGAATAAAACTTTTTTTTCTTGTTGTGAACAAGTCCTAAAGCAGTGATAAGGGTTCAGGAGAATCACAATGCCCAATTGAGCTAACTGTGTTTGAGAGGCATAACATAATAGATTGTGGCTATTGTGTCAATATTGTCATCCCACAAGTATTCCATGCAATGCAGGGAAATTCTGGGCTTTGGAGTAGCCTTACTAGAGACAAGTGCTGACCGAGAATCTGTACTGAAGGAGTTGTTCAGAAGCTCAAGGATTCAATAAAAGTAAACAAATGCATCCAGATGTAATTTTGACAAAAATTTATAAGACCCCTTGATCCATCCTTCTAGATAGAGGTCTTGTTCTTGGGTCCATTTAATCCAGTACTGATGTTCCTCATTCCTGTTTGTGTAGATATTGGGCAGGAAAACAATATAGACAATCTTCTCTACAGGTCCATTACACAAAGATACCTAGTACAGAGGAGGGAAAGCTTACATCACTCATTGTGCTTCAGGATGAGTATAATAGAACCAGGTATTGAGAACTGCAGCACAAGGAGAAAGCAAAAACTGAAATGTACTGGAGTTGGTCCGAGCCAGAAAAAGGTTTACTGGAAAATTCCAAACTCAGAACAAGCTGATGTTTCTTGAAGGGCCACAGTTTATTTTGAAGACTGTGTGACCCCAGAAGATTTCCCTGAAGTCAAGAGTCTGTGATGTCAAGAAAGATCTGTTCCTACCAGTTTGACAGTATTACAGTGTTTATGGTCCTTTTAAAACCCAGGTTTGATTTCATATTTTATGCTCACCTTTTAGATGAACTGTTTTGGAGATGCTACTGTTGCTGTGAAAATAACCACAAAGCCTCAATTTCCAGGTCATGGTGCATTCCCATTTGCCACCCAGAGTTCATTACTGGTGAAGAACCTTGGGAGGACAGCTCAGCTGAGTGGGAGGGAAGATGCCTGCTAAGCAGAGAATTGGCAAGTTCCTCTGAATCCGCCTCCTTAGAGAAGGGGGAGCTTCTGGACAGTGCTCGCTTCAGGTTCCGTCTTGCCGAACTGAGGTAGGAAGATTTGGAGCGCCCCCGCTGGCACGGGGTGGTGGTCACACAGCACATGCTCTGAGACTGGGCTGGGGCAGGGATGTGGGTCTTGCCCTCAGGACATCCTCCCCAAGGATAGGGTAGAGCTGAGGAAGAAGGCTGGGTGGCACTTTCCTGGAAAGTAGTCTGCTTTTCCTTCAGGCCTTGGAAGACAGATAAGAGCACATTTGAACCAGCATGGAACTTTTAAGGATGCAGGAAAACCCGATTACAGACCTTAGTGACTAACATCCCATATTCTTTTCTGTTGTGTGGCTGGGGTCTTCACGCCCATGAGGGTTTGTGGATGGGAATAGTCCCTGTGGTGTTCTAGAAGCTGATATTACCATTGATAATTAGTGACTAAAGTTTCTGCACGTGCAGTGGAGTGTTTTTAGGGGTGTCTTGCTGATCCTGTTTGTGATGCCAATCATCTTGCTGAATCTCACTGTGCATACTGTTTACTGAACCCGTAGTAGGCAAGGCATGAGCTAAGAGGCTGGAGAAGATGTGAAGAGCTGTAGGAAAGGCATCTCCTGGCTGGCACAGTAGCCACAGCAGCAGACATAACATAACTGCACACAGCCCTTCAGGGCTTTTCCAGGTGAAGCTTATATATATTTCCAGAACAAAAGAAGCCCGTGGCCAAGTGAGTACCTCATGAGGCGTATGTGCAGTGCTGTAAGTGATCTCAGCTGTTACGTAACCATGCAAAGTCACTGTTTACAGAACGTGGGGTGAGAGGGCGTGAGAGCATGGGATGAGAGACTGGTGCCATCTTGTTAATTTCCTCCCAAGGGGCAAGGGATTGGGTGGGTCCGAGAGGGGCCAAGCCCTCCACGCATATATAGGAGGGCAAAGCGTGCACATGCCCGGGGGATGTGAAGGCTTTTTGCAGGACCACTTGCATGGGTCAGAGGAGGAGTGCTCTCTCTGCTTTGTGCGCTGGGGCTTCTGCGTGAGCATTCACTTGAAAGAAGTGTTCTATTGAGAACCACATACTTGAAAGTGGCTTGTTTAGGAACAGAGTAAGGCTTGTGGTCCAGGACTGCCAAGGTCCCCATTCTGTATCTGCTCAGAGGCAGCTGAGGAACCAGCAGGGGCCAGACATGTCCATGCAACTATCTCCTTGTTGCCTGGCATTCCCTTTGCTCACAGCCTTCTGTGGCTTCCAGTAGGATGGTCTATGTGAAAACCCATGGATAGGTGAGAGGACACCATGAAGCTATCAAATGTTAGTGTTATTATTTCTCTACATAAGGGGCCCATCTTTTCTGAAGCTGTTTGAAGGGCTGATTCAAAGTGTACCTGCCTGCATCCCAAAGTGTATCTGTCTTTAGCCAGAAAGGCCCACTCTCAGTTGTCCTGTTGATGTGACAGGCAATCCTGAGAGGTAGATAAAGGAAGGTACCTCAGAGAGTAAGGATTTTGCCTGAGGTCATGCATGGGCTTCCCATGTGGCTCAGCTGGTAAAGAATCCACCCACCATGTGGGAGACCTGGGTTTGATCCCTGGGTTGAGAAGATACCCTGGAGAAGGGAAAGGCTACCCACTCCAGTATTCTTGCCTGGAGAATTCCATGGACTGTATAGTCTATGGGGTCACAAAGAGTCGGACACGACTGAGTGTCTTTCACTTTCACTTTCATGCAGGGTTTTGAGAGAAGCAAGGGGGTAGGGGCAGGAACGTGACCCCAGGTCCCCCACCAATGCTTGACCATGGAGATGTCTTTTCTACCATGCCTCCTGATAGGGATATAGTGAAGGGACAATGTAGGTAATTAAATCCCAGTTGGGGAATGTAGTGGAAAAAATGTGAGAGACTCTTGTACTTTAATGATTACTCAAGAAAGCATGTTTGCTTAACCACAAAACCAAAACCTAGCAGACATTTTTAGCAACAAGCCATGTAACAGAAGCACAAGACATGCCTCAAAACAATAAAACAGTGGTGGCATGAGACACCATCCTGCCTAATGAGCTCAATAACATGCTCTCTGCACACATAAAAAAATAATGATTTGTGAACCTAGCTTGATCATATAGGGACAAGAAAAACTCCCCTGCTCAACCTGGAGGAGGATGGTGGAAGCTTACATTTACTCAAGAAAGACGAAGATGTCTTCTCCCCTTCCCCACTTTACCTTTGATTACAGAACTGTGGCCCACTCAGTTCTCAGGGTGTGACACTGTCTCACTCACTCACTTATAAGCCTCACAAATGTCCTATTCTGATAAATCACTTCTGTCTGTTACTTTATCTCTCGCTGAATTCTTTCTGCACTGAGACAGAAAGGACCAGGAGCTCTTCAGAGCCCCCTGAAAAGACACCTAATGGTTTCACTCCTAGCTATGTGTAGTTTCTGTACCATGGCTGGTCTTAGCTATAGGCATGGTAAATATTCAGCCAGTTTAATCTGCTATAAAATTGTTTGAATTATGTGAAAGCATGTGAACAGGTACCTGGTCCCCGTCATTCACCATGATCGTAAGCCCTGGTACTGTGAACACCCTTCTCTAGCATGCTGGCTTACAACTCCAGAGGATGTGAGGTTCTTCAAATATCCTGTGGCGTGGAAAATAGGATCAAGTACATTTAAGCCTTTACATTCAGTAGTTGTTTTATCTTTTATGATTCATAGAGTAGCTGCCTCAAACTTTCCACTTGACTGAAAGATTTAGTGACATTCTTTTTAACATGTCTAGAAAATACTACACATTATTGTTGAAACTTGTAAAAGCTATTTTGGATGGTCAGCTATGCTGTATGTGTCAGTTATGTAGAAAGACATCTGTGTTTAGGGTAGTTCAGTTAATGCTTCATGCTTTAAAAAGAAATATTTTTTATTCCCATTTGAATAGGAACTATTGATCATAATTTGGAAGTATGCTATGATTATTCATCAAATTCGTTAAATCTAAAAGAATGCAAAACAAGGTTTTGCCATTTTGAAAGGATCAGAAAGATTTTGAAAAAGATGTCCCAATATAGACTTTCTTCCTTCATTCTATAAACATGTATGAAGCACAAGCTGTATACCAGCACCCTATCTTTGGCAGGAGCTGAGCACAAATATCCCAGTGCCTGCCCTGGAGAAGCAGCCAGGGGAGAGCACCCTCCAGAAACTGGGCAGTGATAGCATCTTCAGGAGATGGGATCTGGTGGGCCCTGAGGAGGCGAAAGGAGCAGAGATAAGCCTGGAGTGGCTGCCAGGACCATATTTGCCCAAAGGCCTGAGGGTCACAATGGAGAAGTGAGTAATGATGACTATCAGGGGTCCACAGAGGGCTGGATTGTCTGCTAAATTATCTCCTAAGGAATTCTTAAAGGATTCTGCTGGTACAACCAGTTATAGCACTGCAAATTCTTTCTTGAATTGTTTGGTTATGCCTCAGTCAATGTTTATTCAATGATCAAATCCATGTTCTTATCTTCCAGAAAACTTAAGGGAAAATAATTGATAAATATGAATCTGAGAGCCAAGATAAAGCTTGTTTCCAGGAAACCAGAGCCTTTAAAAAAGCTAGTAAAGAGGCCCAAATCTTGAACTTTAGCATCTCTGACAAGAAGTTGTGTTCAGACATTCAGGTTTAACTTTGTTTCCTCCTGTAACCTCCTCTGAACTGCTTCTCAAGAAGCTGTATGTTTACAACAGGTCATTGGTATTCTCAGCAGTATCTTCCTTCATAATGTTATAGAAAGAATTCCACACATGGCTTTGAGATGGACATTAGTCAAGGCTTCAGCAGACATCTGAGGTTTGACCTTGGTGGGTGCATACAAATAGGACTGCCATCAGTGTGATCTGGGACCTGTCTTTTCTCTTGCAGGTGCTGTGTGCGGTGGCTAAAAGTTGCAGGCTTATTTGTCTTTGTGGTGCTGTGCTCTGTGAGTACCATGGCATGCTGAGCCTTGCTGTCTGCTTGGCAGAGTCCCTGGGTGATTCGGGCTGGGTAGTAGGGCACCTGAGGTGTGGAACACACGCATTTCTTAGGAAGAGATGCTGAGGGAATGCGAGATGGCAATTTGGAGGTGGCTAGGGAGTCCCGCCCTTAGTAATGTTCCTCTACTTTTGTCCCGCTTTGTACAGTGGAAACCATGAGGATCTGGCTATGGTCTGTAGAAGGCAGCTTGCCCCGGGGTCTTAATCCCTACCTTAAGTGGCTTTTGCCAAATTCTCTTTTCAACCACATGCAATAAGCACTTTTTATTTGTGTTGGGAATGTCCAGCAATCATGGTTGCCCTTAGGAATGTCTCAGTGCCCTTTTGCGGTGGTGCCCAGCTGAATCATGCTGTCTGGGAGAGAGTGAAGTTCTGTGTCTGCCTCTTCCCTGGAGACTGCTCTGATTTTACTTGCCCTACATCCCCAGGGATGGTTGCAGAGCTAGAACCCTGGAGGCAACCTGAGTGCTCCTCTGACTTGAGGTGTCATGAGTGTCATTGCCAGCATTTGTGTGGTATGTGCCCTGATGTGGCCCTAGCCAAGATCACATTGCAGGCAGTTAAAACACATTTGCTGAATGAGCAACTATGAGCCTCCCCCTGCCCAATCTGTGTGTGTGCTTATGGATGTGAGGATTCCTGTCTACTGTGTGTTTGTGCATGTGCAATCCTCTGTGGGACAAGTAGGTCTTTTGTGGTCTGTGACCATTTCGAGCTTGTGTGTGTACCTAGGGAGTTATTTTTGCAGTTAATAATTATTATCTAATTTTATCATTGGCATAGGATACTTTGTGTGGGCCATTTTTGAGAGACCCCAATATGTGACAGGGTATGAGCTTATGAGCAAGGAAGGGGTGGACGAGTAGTGTTTCCATACCTGTGCCCTCTGGACTCCAGGACTGTGTGGTTATGGCTCTTCTCAGCAGGCAGTGTGGGGCAGCTGTGCTGGGTGCCCTTTGTGACTGGAAGCTGCGTGTGTGTGACCATGTGTAGCTGTAAGCACATGGTCTTCATTATCTGTGTGTGTGGGCATGAGGACTGGGGTTCTATGCGTGTGCAGGATAGTGCATGACCAGAGTCGTCTCTTCTCAGTGTGACGTGTAGAGAGCCACGTTGCATCTCAGACAGCAAGGGTGCATGAAATCAATATTGGCTGAATTGAATTGAATACAGGCAACTCTTTAATAACCCACAAGGGAGGAGAGGAGGGGTCCAGAGAAAGGAAATCTAGGCTAAAAACAATTACAGTGAACTGAAAGCTTTATGAGTTTACTTTCTTGGTTACCAGTTTGCCTCTCTGCTTCCTATTCAAACAACTGTGTGTTTCTGAAGACCCAGCTGCTTAGCGCGGCCTGGTGGGTGGGTGTCCTGGGATTCTCCAGGGGGAGTGTGGGTGGGCCAATCCTCTCCCGATCCTTGAGAGCTCGCCTGACCTCTGTGTCTGGTCTTCACTCTTCTGGTAATCGAAATTTTGGTGTTTTGTGGACACAACCAAAATGGAATTTGAGAAATTTGTTTTGAACCTCTGTAATCTGTTATCTCATCATCACTTTAGTTTAGTTTCTGAGGGTGTATAAGGTGCTCTGAAAATTCCACCGTGTGAGCTCTCACCATCATATGGGTTGTTTTCCCCACTCTCCACATTTACCCTCCTCTGACAATTTAATTTTAGGGCTGGGTAGTCAATCCTTAAAACTGTCAAATATCAGTAATCAAGGCCCATTGTAGCAAAAAAAAATTGTTTAATGGTTCAGAATTTTATCTTTTAATATCTCAGGAAAGCTATTCAGAGTAAGCAGGTAAATTTTGGATACATCAAGCAGCACAATTATCATAACCCTATTTTCAGCTCTTATCAAAGTTACTTAAATCCTATTGCTCTCACACCACAAATCTATCATTAAATGTTTCTGATTGTTTCAGATTTTATTTAGCCTGTATCCAGATCAAGGAAAGCTCTGGCAGTTGCTGGCTGTGTCACCGCTGGAAAGCTACTGTATCTGAACCTTTTTTGAGATGGACAGTCACCCAAGGTTGAGTCACAAAGTGAAAAGACCTGAGAACTATTATGATGTTGCCCAAGGTCACAGCATAAGCAATCATGATTACTCCCCATGTGCGTTTTGTTCCTGCAGGATGTTTGTTGAAAGATGAGGTTTCAGAACATAAGGGAGGGGGCTTTAGTGAGACTGCAGTGGGTGGGTGGTGGAGAGATTCCCCATGGAAAGGTGACAGCAAGCAATGTATTTCAGTTAAGGCCCGGCTTTCTGTGGCTGTTGGATGCTCTTTCTGTCCCCACAACCCCACCCTAGCCCCTGCCCTCTTATGTTTTAGCTTGAATGGTTCCTCTTTACCTAGCTTTAAGTTCTTTCCTTGGCAGTGTCATCTGAGTTTGATGATTGCTTGGTTTCTTATCCTCTGGAATCTCTTGCCATTTTATAGGTCTCAGGTGCTACAATAGAATACCAAACCTGGATGACTTAAGCAACAGACATTTATTTCTCACAGTTCTAGAGGCTGGACATCCAAGGTCAGGATGGGCTGATTTGGTTTCTAGTGAGCACTCTTTTTCTGGCTTTCAGATGGCCACCTTCTTGCTATGTCTCCTGTGTGTGTGTGTGTGTAAAGAGTGAGAACTCTCTGGTGTCTCTTCTTACAAGAACACAGATAGTATCAAATCTGGGCCTCAACTTATGACCTCATTTGCTTTCAGTTATTTCTTTAGAGACCCAGGCTCCCCAGGTGCCTCAGTGGTAAAGAATCTGCTTGCCGATGCAGGAGATGCAGAGACCTGGATTCCATCCGTGGGTCAGGAAGATCCCTTGGAGGAGGACATGGACATTCAGTCCATAGCACAGAGATGAAGTTTTAAGTTTGAAGGTCTATGGGCCAGGGGGAGTTATGTAAATCCAGTTAAATATTGGCTGTGTTGTGGTCTATGGTTGCCATGGTAACCGTCAGTGCCCCAGACACCTGGAATTTCTCAACCTTCTTTCATCTGCCTGCCAGGCCCTGCACTGTTCCTACCAACCCTTCAGGGGTAGGGCTGCTTTCTCCCCATCCCATCCCTTAGGGTCATCCCAGGGCACCGGCCCTGAGTTCTCCCTGTCTCATGCATCGAACCTGGTCTGGCGGTCTATTTCACATATGATAATATACATGTTTCAATGCTATTCTCTCAAATCATCCCACCCTCGCCTTCTCCCAGAGTCCAACAGTGTGTCCTTTACATCTGTGTCTCTTTTGCTGTCTTGCATATAGGGTCATTGTTACCATCTTTCTGAATTCCATATATATGCATTAATATACTGCATTGGAGTTTTTCTTTCTGACTTTCTTCACTCTGTATAATGGGCTCCAGTTTTATCCATCTCATTAGAACTGATTCAAATGCATTCTTTTTAATGGCTGAGTAATATTCCATGGTGTATATGTACCACAGCTTTCATATCCATTCGTCTGCTGATGAACACCTAGGTTGCTTCCATGTCCTGGCTATTATAAACAGTGCTGCGATGAACACTGGGGTACACGTGTCTCTTTCAATTCTGGTTTCCTTGGTGTGTATGCCCAGGAGTGGGATTGCTGGGTCATATGGCAATTCTATTTCCAGTTTTTAAGGAATCTCCACACTGTTCTCCATAGTGGCCATACTAGTTTGCATTCCCACCAACAGTGTAAGAGGGTTCCCTTTTCTCCACACCCTCTCCAGCATTTATTGCTTGTAGACTTTTGGATAGCAGCCATTCTGACTGGCGTGAGATGGTACCTCATTGTGGTTTTGATTTGCATTTCTCTGATAATGAGTGATGTTGAGCATCTTTTCATCTGTTTTTTAGCCATCTGTATTTCTTTTTTGGAGAAATGTCTGTTTAGTTCTTTGGCCCATTTTTTTTTTTTTTTTTTTTCCATTTATTTTTATTAGTCCCTCTCCTTTTCATGTCCGTGGGGGAGACATGGTCGGCGAGTCCCAAGGGGATGGCTGAGAACTGCCCACGGACAGCACAGCAGAACGGCCCCCATGACCAGGCAGCCCGTGGGCCCACAGAACACTGACCCCACCCCTCCCAGCTGCACATGAGAATGTTTGGCCCATTTTTTGATTGGGTCATTTATTTTTCTGCAACTGAGCTGCATGAACTGCTTGTATATTTGAGATTAATTCTTTGTCAGTTGCTTCATTTGCTATTATTTCCTCCCATTCTGAAGGCTGTCTTTTCACCTTGCTTATAGTTTCCTTCGTTGTGCAAAAGCTTTTAATTTTAATTAGGTCCTGTTTGTTTATTTTTGCTTTTATTTCCATTATTTGGGAAGGTGGGTCATAGAGAATCCTGCTGTGATTTATGTCAGAGAGTGAAAAACACCTTATTTATCAGGATATTTTTGTACTTTTGTTTGTTTGTTTGTTTTAAAATAAATAAATAAATATATATATATATGAAAAACAACCCAGTGCATCTTGCTGGGGGAATTTTAAAAAGGGTTAACTATTCACTGGCACTCCCCAACAGTCTGTTCAAATCCTGTAAACACTCTGGCAACAGTGAAGTTCTGCCTTCTCCCAAGTCAACTCCATAAACAACTTGTTTCTTTAAGGGTTTTGAGGGAGAGTAAAGGGGTTGGTCGCTGAATCGTCCTGCAATCAGTGAGCTGCTGCTAAGACTTTTGAGACCTCACACAAAACATAGATCATTTTAAGATTCATGTTTTTGCACCTACAGCAGCTTTCTCTTCTGGAGCAAAATAGCTGGGCTATCTGCTGTTTAGAATCCATGGTGTGGGCCCCAGGCCTTGCAGCAGAGCTGAGAGGCCGCTGGCACAGAGGGAGGAAGCCTGAGAGCACAGACCTTACGTCTGTGCAGCACACCAGTGCGGGATGTAGGAATGAAGGGGCCAGGTTGTGGTGGGGACATAAGTGCATGAGGGTTACCTTTTGAGAGGAAGGAGCCTCTTTTCCCTATAACTTCCCTGACTCAGAGTCCTTCACAAGCTTTGCAGGGATTTCCCTCCTCTCGCTTCAATGGACTTCACTGGTTTAGCCAATTTCAGATTTCTTGTTCAGTTCTCCCTGTGATTTCCTACCAGCCACCTTAGGATTTGGGTATGGCTGTGGGTTAGTTCATCTGTTCATTCAGGAAGTCATCCTGTCTGCTGCTCACCATGAGTCCAGGAGCTGGGACAGGTGTTTTATTCTGGCTGCCAAGAGTGGTAGCAGAGATGATTGTAGGATGTGAAACACCAGCTAGACGTTAAAGCTGATGATTCAAAACACAATTAAAGAAAGCAAAACCAATTGCGTGTGTCTGGAGTGAGCGGCTGAAGAAGTAGGAGCGGTCAGGGGCAGGTGGAGGGGAGGGCCTGGACTCTCCTTTCCTGGTGTACCTTCCGAGATGGGTGTTCCCTGGGAGGGTGGGGGCCGGGGGCGGCAATCCAGGCCACTCCTTCTTGTTCTGTAGTTTACCTTGACGCTCCCCCAGCTGTGAACCTCAGCAGCCATGCAGACTCCAAGCTGCTCCAGGTGGACCTGGCAGGGGCCTTGGTGGCCAGTGGCCCAAGTCGTCTTGGGAGAGAAGAGCACGTGGTGGTGGAGGTGACCCAGGCTTACACTCCAGGCTCCAGGCGGCGGCGGCCACAGCAGGTTACACTTAAAAGTTATTTGAAAAGAACTGTAAAAACTCATTTTATTTCTTTATAACTTGAATTTCTTCTTGAATGGATTTGATGGGAGCCCTAGAGTAATGACACCATTATTAGGCAAGCCGTTATCTTTTACTTTGTCATGGAAATTCTCTTTTCTCTAAGGTGGTTATAAAACTCTCACCATTTCAGTAAAGTCAAGCTTTTGAGGTTTCTTTTTTTCAATTTATAGTGTTTTTTGGGGCAATTCATGGACACATATATTTGAAAGTGCAGTTAAACCTGACCCTTACCTCATGGTACAGAAGATAGTTTAACACCATGGTTCCCTTGAGTTTGTGGACTCTTAGCTAAGATTGTGTCTGCTTTCCCTGAGCTTCTCCTTCTGTACCAATATGACCTTGTGCTCAGCATCTAAGGCAAGGACTTTAGTTCACATCCTGCAAAGGTTAGGAGAGCCAGCAGTCCCAGCCACCATATCCCAGAGCCCAGACAAGGCCTAGTTTCTCTCTCTTGTCCCCCAAATCCTGGTCTCAGGGACTCCCCTGGATTTCCATGATGACTTCCATATGAAGTCATATCCCTAGTTCACAGATTTTCCCTGTTATAACTAATAGAAGGAAACGCTGCTGGTCTACGAGGCTGTGTCATCCAAAATGGAGTATAACTGCAGTAGTGGTGGGGATAGCACCTATCACATATTCTTCTGCCATACAGAGCAGTGTCCCCACAGCCAAAGTTTCATTGTGAAGAAGGCTGCGGTTTCATGGACAATGGCTGATGCAGCACTGATGTTCTAAACCAGTTGCTCTAGCCATGGTCTTAGGACAAACTTGGCTTCCCTGTATGCATTGCATAGTTCGCTGGCAAGGCTTCCTCAGTAAAGATGAGGTGGGCACAGTTAATCTGCTGATGGTTCCCTCTGTGACCTTGTGTGGAGGAGGGCATGACCTTTTGTAGCCTGCTGACACATTAATACTTGCCTATCCTTGGGTCTGTATTGAGCTTGCCTGCTCCAGAAACACAACACAGGAGATTTTTACTGAAGGGTTTTTTTTTTTTTCTGATACACTCTTTCCAAACATGAAAGTTTTAAATTCAGGCTTTGACCAACTTCAGAGTTCCTGTTTTCAATTTTCCTTATGATTTGTGGGTGGCAAGACTTCTGTCCTCCCACTGAAGTTTTCCCAGCAGCCACAGCCAGGCCTCCCGCCTCTCTCTGCCCCACCAGCACCTCCATCTCTGCACACATCTGGCCCCTTTCATCTGGCTTTCCCACTCTTCTGCCCTTGACAAGGGCACCTTGGCCTGTGAAAATGGAAGCTCATCCTCAGGCCCCCCTTCCACAGGCTTCTGGGACCTGGGTGTGGAGAGTTTCCTGCCTCCAGTTTGCAAACAGAAAGCAGTCTTTCTGGTCAGTTGCCTCTGCGTTCAGAAGACTGTGTCTCCAGTAACGTGCAGTGATTTCCTTTTCTCTTAATAGGTTATATTTACTTCTCTATTTCTGTGTCTTTGTACATGAATTTTGTGTTTGTATTTTCGTATTCTTTTTCTTAAACACAGCCCTCCAAATCACGGATGTTCCAGCTGCACGTCACCTGGCTGTCTCTAACATCTCTGTGTGAAAAGCATTTGTGCTCTTCTCCTTTTCTTATTCTAGACAGGCACCTACCTTGAACAATGCTGGACCCCAGCTGATGGCCCAGATTCAAAGCCTTACCAGGATTTCATGCTTCAATTTTTGCAGGTCACTCATAACTGGACGATATTTTTAAATCCAAGCAGAAGTGAGCACGTGGTGGTGAGCAGGACCTTTGAGGTTCTTAGCAGGTAGGTCTTGGTGACTGAAGTCTCAGGGAAGCTCCTCTGGGACATGTTCCCTAGAGAAGTATGACCCTTGGGGCTCCAGTTATAAATAGCTAGGCAAGTTATGGGCTTGGAGTTGCTTCTCTTGTGTAGCCAGTGATCATGAGTCTGTGGTGGTGTCAAAATCACAGGTGTCAGGAAGTAAGATTGCAGAACCCATTTTGAAGCAAACTATGTTTTACAGCTGATACTTTAAATTCATTAATATCATGAAGCTACGCAATGGGGAATTCTAGTATATCTTAGAATTCTTTTTTCTGTAATGCCACTCCATGTTAAGTCTGTACTTTTGGTTACTACATAAGTTTGCTAGGCCTGCTATAATAAATACCACAGACATGTGGCTGAAACAGTAGACATCTATTTCCTCAAGTTGTCAGCAGGGCCTGCCCCTCCTGAGGTCCTTCTCCTTGGTGTGTGGATGCTGTCTTCCCCCCATGTCCCCACTGGCCATCCATCTGAATCTCTGTGCCCCAAATGCCTTTCCTTACAAGGACACCAGTCATGTTGGTGTCACTGTTTTTCACTTAATCACCTTTGTGAAGACCTTATCTCCAAATACAGTCACATCCTGAAGTATGGAGAACTAGGATGTCCAGATATGAGTTTTAAGGGGACACAATTCAGCTCAGAGCAGTTACTGAAATTTTAGAGTTTTTATTTTCACCAGGCCATATACTGTTGATCTGCATACTTCTTGTTCTTGGGGTTTTCCCACCATTAGTGACAACCTGACTACCTGTTCTCAGGTTGCACATGACCCTTTTTCAAATTCCTCACATGTGAGAATCGTTGGATTTGCTATTTGTTAGCATGGGCTTCCCAGGTGGTACTAGTGGTAAAGAATCCGTCTGCCAATACCAGAGTCATAAGAGACACAGGTTCGACCTCTGGGTTGGGAAGATCCCCTGGAGGAGGGCATGGCAATCCACTCTAGTATTCTTGCCTGGAGAATCCCATGGACATAGAGGCCTGGCTGGCTACAGTCCATAGGGTTGCAGAGTCAGACACAACTGGAGTGACTTAGCATGTGCACAACGGAATCAGATGTATGGTGAGGAGGAAGATGGAAAATTAAGTGGTTTGAACCACTGTGAACATCTTTGCCCCTGTTCATTGCTGGGCTGGTGGCATTGTGGTGAGGCAGGCAGTGCCTGATGGGAGGCTGAGGAGCTGTGTCAGAGGGCCTGGCTATGGGGAGGCTGTGCATGTATTCTCGAAGCTCGCCTGTGCTCAGGGCCCCTCGTCTGGCAGGTTAGGCACTCTGCGATTGGTTCAGGCTCTGGTTATAGCCGTGGGTGACTGGTGTTCGGAAGAAAGCCGAGGGAGCAAGTGCTAATGGTTGATGTCAGGTCTGTTTCCTTTACCAGTGGTAAGATATTTGCTTCATTCTTCAGAGAGCCTGTTTCCATCAGTGTCCGAGCCTCCCTCCAGCAGACCCAGATTGTTCCTCTTCTGATGACTCATCAGTACCTCCGTGCAAGTGTTGAAGCACAAGTGACCATTGCTGCGGTCATCCTCGCTGGGGTCTACGTGCTAATTATATTTGAGGTAACTTGCATGTCTGCTCCTCTGGGTTTATCTGTGCCCACAGGTAAGTGTACTTTAACATGTTGGGTACTAGGCATGGGCTCGTCTTGCATTTTAATCAAATTGAAATAGTGTCTTTCCTAAAAAGTAACATTTCCCTCACTCTAGGTAGAAAATTGCTCTGTACTGCAATATTTGCTGAATCTAGGCAGTTGTCATATGCAATAAGAGTTTTGCTAGGCACTAGAAAAAGTTTATTGAGAAAACTGAATGTGCACATGATTTTCTTACCCCCCCCCCGATTTGCTGCTCACACAGAGTGCCCCTGAAGGGACAAGTGTTGAAACTTTCTGAGAATCAGGGTCTTCTGTAAAATGGGCATGTTAAAATACCTGCTATCTGCTTCATAGGACTGTGTGCACGATGAGGATCTTGGAGACCTTGGGCTATGTGTGGGGAAGGATTATTATCTGTTATGTTTATCAACTCAGCTAATGAGCCCAGTGATCTCATGTCCTATCGATTCAGTGTTTCTGGGACATTTTAAGTGTGGCTATACCTCCAATAGTGTGAAAAGAGGTTCAGACACTGCCTGGCTGGGAAGGTCCATTGCTGTTTTCGTTGAAACCAGATTTACAGCAACACACAGATGGGGCTTTGACTCCACTGGGTTCAGCCTGGAGGATCAGGAGGTGAAGGTGAAGGGGTGTGTCTTCTCAAAGTATGAAAAGTGCCCTGGAGCTTCAAGGAGGTGATCTGAGCGGGGAGTGGCCAGGAAAATTCCTGAAATTCCCTGAGGCTGTCTGATCTGTCTGTGAGGAATGCTGGCTTCAGCAGCTTGAGCCCCTAGTTGTCCAACAAGGTCCATCCATGGGTTTAGTTGCTCTGTCTCATGTTTCTTTTATCCTGGGGCAGCTCTGTTCTGTGCCCCCCCCTCCCCGCCCGCCCAATCAGTATCATTATCATTTCGGGGTTCCTATGACCACACACACACTCTCTGATCAGGCAGAGTCTGGAGGGCCCAGGAGCAAGTTTCTGAGCAGTTTCTTCCTCAAGGGGCCACAGAGGACGTATTACTTCCTCCAGTGGCATTGTTTAAGGGCAGGCTGTTTGAGATTTAGAGCCCAAGGTTTTTGTTGAGGTGATTCTATAATCACAAAATTAATACACAGAAATCCCTTGCATTCCAATACACTAACAATGAAAAATAAAAAAGAGAAATTAAGGAAACAATCCCACTCACCACCACAACAAATAGTATAAAATATCTAAGAATAAACCTACTTAAAGAGACAAAAGACCTGTATGCAAAAAGTTATAAGACACTGATAAGAGAAATCAAAGAACATGGACAGATGAAGAGATACACCATGTACTTGCATTGGAAGAATCAGTATTGTGAAAATGACCATACTACCCAAAGCAATCTAAAGATTAAATGCAATCCCTATCAAATTCAATGGCATTTTTCACAGAACTTGAACAAAAAAATCTTACAATTTGTACAGAAACACAAAATACCCCAAATAGCCAAAGCAATCTTGAGAAAGAAAAGTGGAGCTGGAGAAACCAACTTTCCTGACTTCAGACTTATCAAGACAGTATGGTATAGGCACAAAAACAGAAATACAGACCAATGGAACAAGATAGAAAGCCCAGAGATAAACCCATGTACCTATGGGAATCTTATCTTTGGCAATGGAGGCAAGAATATACAATGGAGGAAAGACTGTCTCTTCAATAAGTAGTGTGCAAAAACTGGACAACTACATGTAAAAGCATGAAACTAGAACACTTCCTAACACAGAACACAAAAATAAACTCAAAATTGATTAAAGACTAAAATATAAGGCCAGAAACTATAAAGTTCTTAGAGGAAAACATAGGCAGTATGCTCTGACATAAATCACAGCAGTGTCCTCCAACACCCACCACCTCAAGTAATCAAAATAAAAACAAATGGAACCTAATTAAACTTAAAAGCTTTTGCACAGCAAAGGAAACTTTAAACAAGGTGAAAAGACAGCTCTCAGAAAGGGAGAAAATAATTTCAAATGAAGCAACTGGCCAAGGATTAATCTCCAAAATATATAAGCAGCTCATATAGCTCAATATCAGAAAAACAAGAAACTCAATAAAAAAAATTAGCAGAAGACCTAAACAGATATTTCTCCAAAGAAGACATAGAGATGGCAAATAAACACAGAAAAAGATGCTCAACATCACTCATTATTAGAGAAATGCAAATCAAAACTACAATGAGGTATCACCTCACACCAATCAGAACAGCTATCATCAAAAAATCTATGAACAATAAATGCTGTACAGGATGGGAAGAAAAGGGAATCCTCCTGCACCATTGGTGGGAATGTAAACTGATACAGCCATTATGGAGAACAGCATGGAGATTCCTTAAAGACTAGGAATAAATCTACCACATGACCCAGCAATCCCACTACTGGATATATACCCTGAGAAAACCACAATTCAAAAAGACACGTGAACCCCAATGCTCATTGCAGCATTATTTACCATAGCTAGGACATGGAAGCAACCTTGTCCATTGACAGAGGAATGGATAAAGAAGATGTGCTGTATTACTCAGCCATATAAAGGAATGAGTGTGAGTCTGTTGTAGTGAGGTAGATGAAGAGTTTGTTATAGAGAATAAAGTAAGTCAGAAAGAGAAAGACAAATATAATATATTAATGTATATAAATGGGATCTAGAAAAATGATACTGATGAATCTGTTTGTAGGGAAGGAGTGGAGTTGCAGATATAGAGAATGGACTTGTGGACAGAGCAGGGGAAGGAGTGGGTGGGATGAATTGAGGAAGTAGCATTGATATATACACACAATCATGTGTTAAATAGATAGCTAGTGTGAAGCTGCTATATCACAGTGAGCCCAGCCTGGCCCTCTGTAATGACCTAGAATGGTGTGATGGGGGAGAGGAGGGAGGCTCAAGAGGCAGAGGATATATATATATATATATGTATATATATAATGACTAATTTGTGTTATTGTATAGCAGAAGCCAACACAATATTGTAAAGCAATGTTTTCCTCCAATTAAAAAAGAAAAGAAAAAAAATAAGACAATATCACATTAGGCATGACTGTTTCTCCTAACTCGAAAAGAATCCAGATGTGCACAGGTGGTCTTAGCTGTTCCTACCCTGCCTCTCCTGCTACCTTGCTTTCGCAGGTGGCTCTTGTGGTAAAGAACCTGCCTGCCAATTCAAGAGACATAAGAGATGTGGGTTCAATCCCTGGGTCAGGAAGATCGCCTGGAGGAGGGCATGGCAACTATTGTCTGCAGAATGTTATGGACAGAGGAGCCTGGCGGGCTACAGTCCACAAGGTTGCAAAGAGTTGGACACTAATGAACTGACTTAGCATGCATGCACAGAGGACAGACAGCACTGTGGGGCTAGTCTGGGATCAGGAATGCCAACACAATCTAGCTTGGGTGCCATCCCCAAACCACCCTTCCCTCACAGACACATGGATGCGCCCATGCTGAGGGGGTTTGTTTGGTAACATACAGACCCTGCCAAACCATCACAGGTGGGAACACAGCAGATGAGTCTGAGGAGAAAGTGGATGTGCTGGCTCTTATGTGAAGTGTCTTTGATGCTCAGACCTCAAAGGCAGTGGTGAGACCACCCCCAGTGAGGTGGCAGCTGGCCCACCCGTCAGACATGGCCCCTGCCTCTCCCACACACAGAAGACCCTGGGCAAGAAGAGCCACAAGAGCAGTAGGGGGTGGGGGAGAAACAGCAGAGACCCTTGTTTCCAGGCCCTCCCAAACCACTGGCCAGCAGGTAAACCCTCTTTCATTCCTTACGAAGCTTCTTAGGCAGACCAGACCCCTTGATGAAAGGAGGTGGTTCTTGGGGACACTCTCAAAAAAGAGTCCAGAATATCAATGGACGCCAGAAGCTCCCTGCAGTGGCAGTGCAGTGAGAAGGGGCAGCAGCTGGTGCTCCCCCAAGGTAGGCCCCAGCTCAGCAAGAGTTATGGGGTTCTCTCCAGCTGTGTGAGAACCAGGCTGAGTGGGCTCTGGCCCCGGAAGGAGAAGGCACCGCCCCTTCCTGTAGGGGTATGGCCACCTCCTGCTTTCAGCCAGCCTCTCAGCATCTGCACATGTGGTCAATAGGCCTCTGCTCACTGTGACCCGTAAGAGACCCAGGCTGCTCCTCACCTGGGCACCACTGAGGCAAGAGGAATGGGGAGTCTCTCTTCTCATATCCCAACAACCAGAACACAGTTCACGACCAAAGCTGACTTCAGAGGGAGGGGTGGGCAGTTAACTATGCACAAGGACAAGAATGCATTCACATAGAAGAACAGACAGGCACGGTCCACCACTTTCAAAGGGGCCAGAACAGCCTCTTCCTAGGAGACAAGGGAGAGTAGAAAGAGGACCCACCTGGAGGGTAGTGCAGCAAGCGGAGCACTGTTACTACCTCATAGGCAGACAGGACCCAGCCCAGGAAAATAGGAGCTGGCCCAGGTCTTACACCAGGGCACAGAGAGAGAGGTAGGGTGTCACCTCAAGGGACAGCCGGTTCATGCCCTACAAACCAAAACGTTCTCTAAGTTTTGCAGATGAAGAAAATGAAATGTGGAGAATTTACGTAGCATCAAAAAGCCCATAATCATCCTACCACATCATGGCAGTGAGAAACAATTGGAAAACAAGGCCTTCAACTGGACGCACATTGTAAGTGCTGAAATGCCTATGAAACGCAGCGTGGTACTGAATTCAAGGCCCAGAACTGTACCACTTGTACACTGTCATGGGGATTTTTAGAAACACAGGATTCAGAACCGAGGAATGTCTAGGAAACCCACCGTCAGTGTTTCCCCTGTCACTGTGGACCAGTGGGCTCCTGCCATTGCCCTCATGTACTGGGAGGGAAGGGGCTCAAGAGGCACAGGCACCTCCCTCCCTGAGCAGCCCCTCTCTAAACAGAGGTGTTCCTGCTTCCCGATGCTCCTCAGTCCAGGAGAATTTACACGAGATGACACAAAGCAAAGGCTCCCAGAACTCATGTGGGGTCCCTAGAGAGCAAAGCACACATGCGGTGGCATACAGCTGCTTGCGGACAGTGTACAGCCGCCAGCACACCACATGGGCAAAAATGGCAGCCATGGGAGTTCCACATATCTGCAGATGTTTAGGTATCTCATCCTCCTGATGAGTCTCCCTGCACTTCATTTATCCTTACATCTACAAAAGTAGCCCAAGGAAGAAGATGAGTCAACCCTCTCACATCCTGAACACTTAAATGTAAACTGGGAGATGACGTCAGCATCATGGCAGCATGAGATATCCCTCCTTTTGGTGCCCCCTTTCTCATAGCTAACTAGGTGTCCATTCACAAAGAAAAAGTACCTCTGTAGGAGCAGTGATATTCAAAGGACCTAGGAGGAGCCTCTCCTGCCTGTGCATCCAGTAATAAGCAAACATACCCTAGCCTAAGCTGTGAAACCAGCAGTGGCCACCTGATCTCTCTTGGCTGCTATCAGGGAAAACCTGGACAGTGCTGACCTGAGCAGATACCCAGGAACAAGAGAGAGTTTGTAGAAGCCCAGCCTTTCTGAGTGGAAATTACAGCACATCACTGAAGGAAAACAATACAAGTTAGGACACACTGGGGAGGGTAACAGGACCTGGGTCAGCACTGCCCCTCTCCTAAGGCCAAGCTCCATCGGGCTGAACTAGCCAACAGGGAGTAAGTGCTTGGCTTCCCCAGCTGTGCAGGATGCGGAGGAGGAGCAACTTCTCTCTGCCAGAACCAGAGTATGCAGGCAGGGCATCCATGCCTGCAGGGAGGGAGGTCAGGAAAGAGTCAAGTGAGACTGTCAAAGGGCATTAAAGGAACACATTTCCTGCTGACTGCACTCAGCACTTCAGCAGGAAATCTGATTACTGACCTGGAGAAACTCATCCTAGGATCTCCCTAAGGCCTGCAGGCATCCCTAACGCCAGCCTCTCCCAGCCTCCCCCCACTGCCTTTGTAGTGGCTCCTAGTACATGCTTTCTGTGTGGTGGTGAGAGCACTATTGGTCAACAGTAGATAGAGTGGTGCCAGAAAACAGACCGGCTGTGAGCAGCAGAGAACTGAAGCTATAGCACCACCTATTGCCAACAAGCTTCCCTGGTGGCTTAGAGGGTAGAGCATCCGCCCTCAATGTGGGAGACCAGGGTTCAATCCCTGAGTCGGGAAGATCCCCTGGAGAAGGAAATGGCAACCCACTCCAGTACTCTTGCCTGGAAAATCCCATGGACAGAGGAGCCTGGGAGGCATGGACTGCAGTCCATGGACTCGCAAAGAGTCGGACATGACTGAGCGACTTCACTTTTACTGCCAAGAAAAGGGACTTTTCCAGCAGCCAGCCTGGTGAGCTCTAGAACCAGAGGACACATAAAAGTTTACACATCCTGTCACAAGAAGGAGCAAGAAGAGTGCAGCAGGTATGTCCATAGGAGATCAGAGAAAGTATCAGGTGTAACAGAACAAACAAACACTATATCCCATCTGAATACCACTAATAAAGATTTGAGGAGATGTCTGCTACTTTGCTGACAAAGGTCTATATAGTTAAAGCTATAGTTTTTCCAGTAGTCATGTACAAATGTCAGAACTGGACCATGAAGAAGGCTGAACACTGAAGAATTGATGCTTTTGAACTGTGGTGTTGGAGAAGACTCTTGAGAATCCCTTGGACTGCAAGGAGATCCAACCAGTCCATCCTAAAGGAAATCAGTCCTGAATATTCATTGGAAGGACAGATGTTAAAGCTGAAACTCCAGTACTTTGGCCACCTGATGCAAAGAGCTGACTCACTGGAAAAGACCCTGATGCTGGGAAAGATTGAAGGGAGGAGGAGAAGGGGACAACAGAGGATGAGATGGTTGGATGGCATCACCGACTCAATGCACATGAGTTTGAGTAAGCTTGGGGTGTTGGTGATGGACAGGGAAGCCTGGCGTGCTGCATTCCATGGGGTCACAAAGAGTTGGACACGACCAAGCAACTGAACTGACTGACTGACTGCTACTTCAAATGAGAAAGCATCAATACAAAACTACAAGGAATATGAAAAATCAAGGAAATATATCATCACCAAAGATAACAACAGTCCTTCAATAAGTTAACTCAAAGGCACAGAATGTTGCTATCTAGCTGATAAAGCATTAAAAGTAGCTGTACTGATGTAGAGAACAAACTCCTGGTTGCCTGTAGGGAGGGGGTGGAGGCAAAATATAAGGGAGGGAGAGTGGGAGGTACAAACTATTGGATGTTAAGATAGGCTACAAGAACGTATTGTATAATATGAGCACTATTGCCAATATTTTGTAATAACTATAAATGGAGTGTAACTTTTAAAATAATAAGTGATCAAGAGGACAGGAACTTTGAATAACCCAATCAGAGGAGACCAAAGAAGAAAATGAAAAAGAGCAAAGAAAACCTTCATTGTCTGTCAGGTGTTCATGTAGGATAACTGGATTCCAGAGGAGACAAGTGAGAGAAGGGGGAAGAAAGTTAATTTAAAGAAGTAATAGCTGAGCTTCCAGTTCAGAATGGTGGAGTAGAAAGGTGGGCACTCATCTCCTCCTGCAAGAGCAACAAATCATAACTAGCTGTTGAATAGCCATCCACAGGAGGACACTGGAACCCACCAAAGAAAAAAAAAGATGACCCACATCCAAAGACAAAGAAGAAACGGCAGCAAGACAGTAAGAGGGGGCACAATCACAGTAAAATCAAATCCCATACCTGCTGGGTGTGTGACCCACAAACGGGGGAACAATAATACCAAAGAGGTTCTCCCACTGTTGTGAAGATTTTGAACCCCACGTCAGGCTTTCCAGCTTGGGGCTCTGACAAAGGGACGGGGAATTCCCATGGAATTTACCTTGAAGGCCAGTGGGATTTGATTTCAAGACTTCCACAGGACTAGGGGAACCAGAGATTCCAGTCTTGGAGGGCACAAACAAAACCTTGTGCACATCAAGACTCAGAGGAAAGGAGCAGTGACTCGACAGGTGACTGAACCAAAACCACCTGCTAGATTTGGAAGGCCTCCTGTGGAGGCATGGGTCAGAAGGGGCTCACCACAGTGATGGGGGTATTGGCAGTGGCAGTCTGGGAAGGTCCCTCTAAGGTCTAATGGTGACCCTTATAGACTTGAGGGCTGGGTCTTCTCAGGTCAAAAAAAGACCACGGAGGGAGGGCAACCTCACCCATCAGCAGATAATTGAATTAAAGCTTTACTGAGCAAGGCCCTGCCCACCAGAGCAAGACCCAGTTTTTCCCACCACCAGTCCCTTCCATCAGGAAGTTTACACAAGCCTCTTAGCCTCCTCCATCAGAGGGCATACAAAAGAAGCAAGAACTACAGTCCTACAGTGACTAAAACTAAAACCACATTGCAGAAATATAATTAACATGAAAAAGCAGTTTATGTCCCAGATGAAGGGACAAGATGAAACCCCAAACAAACAGCTAAATGAAGTAGAGATTGGGAACCTTCCAGAAAAAGAATTCAGAATAATGATAGTGAAGATGATTCAGGATCCCGGGAAAAAAAATGGAGGCAAAGATTGAGAAGATCAATAGCAGAATAACTGAGGCAGAATGGATAAATGACCTAGAGGACAGAATGGTAGAAATCACTGGCACAGAACAGAATATAGAAAAAAGAATGAAAAGAAATGAAGACAGCCTAAGAGACCTCTGGGACAACTTTAAATGCACCAACATTTGCATTATAGGGGTCCCAGAAGGAGAAGAGAGAGAGATAAAGGACCTGAGAAAATATTTGAAAAGATAAGAGTTGAAAAATTCCCAAACATGGGATAGGAAATAGTCAACCAAGTCCAGGAATCACAGAGAGTCCCAGGCAGGGTAAACCCAAGGAGGAACACACTGAGACACATAGTGATCAAACTGACAAAAATTAAAGACAGAGATAAAATATTAAAAGCAACAAGAGAGAAACAACAAGTAACATACAGGGGAACTCCCATCAAGCTATTAGCTGATTTCTCAACAGAAATTCTACAAGCCAGATATATTTAAAATTATGGAAAGGAAGAGCCTACAACCAAGAATACTCTACCCAGCAAGACTCACCTTCAGACTTGATGGAGAAATCAAAAGCTTTCCAGATAAGCAAAAGTTAAGAGAATTCAACACCATCAAACCAGCTTAACAATAAATACTAAAGGAACTTCTCTAGGCAGGAAACACAAGTCAAGGAATAAGACCTGCTAACAGAAAATAAACCCAAAACAATTAAGAAAATTTTAATAGGATCATACACATAGATAATCACCTTAAATCACCTTTCTTTAGAAAGCAGACTGGTGATGGTTGTGTGTGCCTCTGGGGCATCCAGACTTTGAAACAAAGAAACCCATGATTTATCTATTGTCCTAAATTCCCTGGTGGCTCAGCTTGTAAAGACTCCGCCTGTACTGTGGGAGACCTGGGTTTGATCTCTGGGTTGGCAAAATTCCCTGGAGAAGGGCATGGCTACCACTCCACTATTCTGGCCTGGAGAATTCCATGGATTGTGTAGTACATGGGGTCTCAAAGAGTCAGACACAACTGAGCAACTTTCACTTTCACTTTCAATAGGTATGGTATAGAATGGCCAATCTTCACAGATACTTAAACCAATACAGGCTTCTGTGTGTTTTAAAATCCTGTGGGTTAGAGTGAAATAATGTTCTATGCTTCTTTCCAGATTGTTCACAGAACACTAGCAGCCATGTTGGGGTCCCTTTCAGCTTTAGCAGCACTGGCTGTGATTGGTGACGTAAGTTGTAACATTTTGAGTCAAAGGCTTAGCATTTGATAGAATGTCAGCTTCAAAGACAGTCCAATAATTAGGTGTTAGCTGGTTAGTTTTTAATATACTATTTCATATTTCCTGTTAAAGGCATGAACTAACGAGCTTTATAGCATTGATGAGCAATTAACATTTGACTTTATGACACTCACCCCAGTGGTGTTATTCTCCATCCTAGCTGAGGAAAGGCTCATGATGGTCAAGTATTCATCCAGGCCATGCAGCTGAGCAATGTTAGAGCCAGCCATATGTGCTGTCAGTCCTTGAAGACCAGGGGAGGCCATCCTGGCTGGAGCAGAGAGGTGGGACACAGTGAGGTTGGGGACAGACATCAGGAGGTCCCTGGAAGTGCATGTCTGGGAGGTGCTACTATCCCCTCAGGGGTCTGAGCATGTTCCATCCTGCAGGGACATTGGAATGAATGTAGAGAAGCAAGAGAGGCCAAATACTCTGGAGATGAAAGCCTGGGGATGTTTGAGGAGCAGTGCTGAACTGACCAAGGTGGCCACACATGGAACTTGGGATTGAGAAAGAACTCTGTAGAATTTCAGAGATTGTTCTGAAAAATGTTTCTAAAGGCCAGTCAGTCAACCAAAGAGTAAAAATGATATGTGAGACTTTGTTAAGTTAGTTATTTATTGTTTTTTATTTTTCTTTTTTATGGCTAGAATTGGTATAAACAAACACTTTAAGGGTAAAATGTTCCAGAATCCTAAAACTTACACATAAACCTCTGCTGTTTTTTTAATTGTTAAGGAGTAGTGTAGTAGTAGTTATTTAATTTTGGAAATAATTGATGTGGCACATGGCTTGTGCTGCAGGAAACTATCTGGACCACTGTGCAGTCCTTTCCCAACAACCAGGCTCTCCAAGTGCCCTCACTTCCCAGTCTGGGCTCCCAGTTCCCCATGATCCTACCTTCCCTTACGGACAGGGACAGGGCTTAAGAAATCTGCCTTTCCCACTGACAAGTGCATAGTTTTGATGTTACGATGCTTTGGGTCATGACTGTTTTTCAGTAATCATATAATAGGATTTCAAAGGCAAGTGAATGGTGTGATTTTTGTGATTTTCAACTCTGGCTTTGAGTGGGTTTTCTGTAAAGTGCACATGTTTACAGCTTATCACCAGGAGGATGATACCCAGGACTAATTGGCTAATTTGTTGTTTGATTGCAGAGACCCAGCCTGACCCATGTGGTGGAGTGGATTGATTTTGAGACTCTGGCCCTGCTGTTCGGCATGGTAATGACAGTCCTCCCAGTGGGACTGGGCCCCATGTTTTCTGTAACTTGGGACTTTCTCTTTTGCTGCTGTCACTACTAATTCTTAAGGACACCGTGCTCCCTGACTGTTAGGGCTTGATTGAGAAGTGTTTGCAGGTCTAGCTAATTTCTCCTGATGAGGAATGGAGTGATTGGTGCTCTGGTTGGTTAGCTGGAAAATTTTAGCCTAAGGCCTCTCTAACAGAGAAATAATCTTGCCATTGAGAAAATTTAGCAGTTTTTTGAGTTACTGTCCTTAAAATATAAAATGATATATCTTTAATAAATGAACCATATAAAATTTTCAGTGATTGAAAAAGTACCTTTAATTATATGGATAAAGGAAGAAAGGAAGAAATTGTCCCTAAGTAATAGTTTGTTAATTAATCATATTTTCAAGTGACCACTCTACTGCATGCTATGAAGAGTGTCACCAAACCAACCTGTAGGAAGGAAATTTTAAGACACACTAGTGGGTTAGTGTGGAACATGAGTCATAAACAGATTTAATTGGAATAAGGGGAATTTAACAAGGGTCTGGACAGCAGTGGGAATGGCTCATGTGTTCTTGAACAGACCCCACAGTGGCTGAGTGATCTGAAGGAGGGTATTCCCTCTCAGGGCTAGAAAACTCGCCATTTGTAAAGTAGGTCTCTATATACCCTCATTTCCTCGTTAGTATTCTCTCTGCTTTGGCACCATGGAGGGCTCTGCTGCTCTAGGCTTCAGTGTGATCCAAGGTAACTGTCTCCTTTGTGGGTGCAGTGTGGGATTCAGGCCAATGCTCTGAATCCAGGCTTTATAGAGAAACTAACGTTCATATAGGGTTCTGAAAAGTAAATACGGTTTGGGCATACGGAAGGTGAATTGTTTTAAAAAAAGCTTAAATGATTGGTGTATTAGTTTGCTGGGACTGCCATAATAAAGTACCATAGACTGGGTGACTTAAACAACAGAAATGTTTGGAGCCTCATAGTTTGGAGGCTGAAGTCCAAGATCAAGATGTCTGCAGCGTTGGTTTCTTCTGAGGCTTATAGATGATCATCCGCTCATGTCCTCACATGATTTTCCCTCTGGGTATGTCTGTGTCCTCCTCTCTTCTTCTTATGAGGTCAACAGTCATATTGGATTAGGGCTTCACTTTAATTTAATTACCTTCTTAATACAGTTATATTGGATTTTAACAATGAATGACTTAATTTTTTCTCAGTTGGAATCAGTTCAACAAGATTCTGTATAGAACTTTGGGGTGTGTGTGGTCCAGAAACAGTCTATATAACCAGACCCCTTTCTTTTTCACCCTGTTTCTTGCCAGTCATCCACCCATGGGACCACTCACCTAGTCCCTGAGTTCCAGTCTCTCTTGGGTGGTTCTGGCAGCAGACAACAATGGAAGACCACACAGGACCTACCCATTCACATTCATGTGTAGGTCTCATTGGTGTGAAGCACCACACTCTATAAATTGCCTCACAGTGGCCATTTGGATAGGATGGACAATGATTGTCATTATAGACAAGGCAGAGATTTGTACTGTTTTGCACTGTTTATGTGCAACACAGTTTTGGGCCCACTATTTTCTAAAGTACTTTAGTTTACATAATTCTATTGAATTATCACAACAGCCTTACAAGGGAATAAGACATACAGAAGTAAGGTGAGAAAACCAAAGTACAGAGAATTAAATAAATTGTTTTGTTCAAGGCTCTGTTTGACTGTTTGCAACTCCATGGACAGCAGCATGTCAGGCTTCCCCGTCCATCACCAAGTCCTGGAGTTTGCTCAAATTCATGTCCAGTGAGTCAGTGATGCCATCCAGCCATCTCATCTGCTGTTGCCCCATTCTCCTCATTCCCTCAGCCTTTCCCAGCATCAGGGTCTTATCCAATGGGTCACTTCTTCGCATCAGGTGGCCAAAGTATTGGAGCTTCAGCTTCAGCATCAGTCCTTCCAATGAATATTCAGTGTTGATTTCCATTAGGATTGACTGGTTTGATCTCCTTGCAGTCCAAGGGATTCTGAAGAGTCTTCTCCGGCACTACAGTTAGAAAGCAACAGTTCTTCAGCACTCAGTCTTCTTTATGGTCCAGTTCTCACATCTGTACATGAGTACTGGAAAAACTATAGCTTTGACTATATGGACCTTTGTTGGTAAAGTAATGTCTGTGCTTTTTAATATGCTGTCTAGGTTGGTCATAGCTTTTCTTCCAAGGAGCAAATATCTTTTAATTTTGTAGCTGAAGTCACTGCCCTCTGTGATTTTGAAGCCCAAGAAAATAAAATCTGCCACTATTTCCACTTTTCCCCTATCTATTTGCCATGAACTGATGGGACTGGATGCCATTATCTTAGTTTTTTGGATGTTGTATTTAAGCCAGTTTTTTCACTCTCCTCTTACACTCTCATCAAGAAGCACTTTAGTTTCTCTTCACTTTCTGCCTTTAGAGTGGTATCATCTGCATTTCTGAGGTTGTTAATATTTCTCCCAGCAGTCTTCATTTCAATGTAACTACTCTTATAAAATTTAAGCCAGTTTAAAAAAATAAATAAATGTAATTTAAGTGAGTTTAAAAGTCTTAAAACTTTTAATTGTTGCTTGTGTGAACACTTAGGTGCAAAAGGCCACATTCTATCCTATTTCCTGCCCTGTTTCTAGCTTTGTGACTGTGCGCAAGTCACTTTCCCTCTCTGCCCAACAGTTTCCTGGTCTATAAGTCAGAGAATAATTATAATGCAGATGTTTACTGTGAAGTTCAGATGGAATGATAATGAACTTTGGGCACATATTCTTGGACAAATTTAAAGGTGCAAACCCTCTAGTAAGGGGCTTGATTCAGAGAGTTAGTAAGGGACCACACTCAGCAAAAGAGTGAGAAGTTTGAGGAGGTGGTAGCTGTCATAGAGAGGCCAGAGCTCAGGTATGCAAGTGGTCACTGATGTCATTTCAGGATGGTGCTCTGTAACATTCTTTGTCTCCTTTTTCTCTTTTCCCTATAGATGATCTTAGTAGCCATATTTTCAGAAACTGGATTTTTTGATTATTGTGCTGTAAAGGTAGGTATGATGTGGCATTTAATAGTTATGTATCAATTGATACTTTTTCCCTACCATTACATATTTAGTGAATAAAACTGTTTTAAAGCAAATATTTTAAAATTCTGTCCTTCTTTTCAAAATCACTGCTGCAAACCTGGGTATAATTGCTGTGCTAAGTTAGGTGTCTTTGAGCATCACTTTCAGATTCTCAACAAATAACCAAAGAGGATCAAGGAGACTAGTATTCAAGTTGAATATTTGTGTGATTATGTTCAAATCAGCAGGTTGAGAGCTATGCACCAAAACTGTTTTGCACTTCAGAGTATCTAAATATTTTAAGTGATCAGCTTCTGATTACTCTGCTTTTAGGTGAAATAATTTCAATGATTACTTTATGATATTGAACCTATAAGCATTCATTTTTATAATTGGGACCCTGGGGAATCCTTCACCATTTTCTGACTGGTAGAATTTGTGTTGATCCTATCATCAAAGTTGGGAGGAAAAGACTAAGGCAGACTAGGGCTGGGCTTGAATTTTTTTTTTTTAGTTGAAACTGAATAGTCCTTTTAAAAAATTAGTTATTTAACAAGCCCTTTCCACACTTTGAATAATAGAACCATGTGATTTTTGCCAATTTTGTGCACTGTCTTGCATCTCCCAGGTAGCTATCTGGTCTTGTCCTCCCAACACCTTGGTATTAAAAGCAACCCCTAGATCCCCAAATATCAGCAGACTCTAGGGTCAGGTAAATCCCAAAGTCAGAGCCCCAGCTGTCCAACCAAAAGGAGTGTGTAAAAGGATACAGACATGACAGGTTGTCACCTTATGAGAGATAGACCGTCTCAGGTACTGAAATGAGAATTGGTGGGCAGGAGTGTAGGCCTGCATGGATTTAGAAGTTCAGATCCAGCCATTACTGCCTCATCTCAGCAGGTTTGGGAGTTTGTAGGTCTAAGTTTTAATCCTCCATGTGGTGTTTATTTAGACCCTTAGTTCTTAGAGTCCCTAATGAAAAGTTGCATCTGTTTTCTGACACCATTGATCCCAGCTTGTTCTTTATTGCATACCAGGCATACCAATTGTCCCGAGGAAGAGTGTGGACCATGATCTTCATGCTGTGTCTCATTGCTGCTGTCCTTTCTGCCTTCCTGGACAATGTCACAACAGTGCTCCTCTTCACTCCCGTGACCATAAGGTATGCAAAGTGGCCCTGTGTGGACATCAGGCCAGCTGATGGCAGTGTGTGCTGGCTGCCCTCCTCCCACATGACTGGGTCTGACCTGCACGTCCACTGGGACTGTGGCTCTGACTGCACAGCTGTGATGGCAGTAGCAGTGGTTGCAGAAATGCCTACAGGAATCACCACACTCAAACACTTATGTCCTGTGGGACAGAGCATCAGGGGCTAGGAGTTCTACTCCACGGGCTCCATGGGGTTCTCAGCCAGAGAGCAGGGGGTGGGGCTACTGTCTTGCTCTGGCAGGATCCTTGTGGGATTACTGGAGGGTTACGTGACCTGGCCTGGCAAGGCCTTGCAAGGTAACTTTGGGAAAGAGAAATCCAGTTTGATTCCATCTTGCTCCTTTTAATTCCACCCATTTCATTTGTGGGACTGATTGCCTGGGGCCTCCTGGGGTTTGGGCTTCAGCCTGCGATTGTGCAGCCTCTTCCAAGGTCCTGGACCTACACTTTTATCTAGACTTTATGTCCTTTATTTTAAGGATGGTTCTTAGCATATCATGGTCTTCCCCTGCTTAGACTCAACCTGTGCTGGTGCTGGCTGGTTCTAGAAGGGTCACAGGTACGCCTGGTGGCTTCTGGGAAGCTAGGTAGTGAGGACATTTAGACAACTCACTTCAGCTGTACTGATCTGGGTTGTTTCATCAAAGGAATTAAAACAAGCTAGTGTTTTGAGGATTCTACCAGATAAGAGATTCTCCTGCATATGAGGCATGAGACAAGGCAAGTTCAGTGTCACAAACAAGGGGCTACTTCCAGAGCTCAGGACTAATTCTGGGTGATGCCTTTGGTGTTTGGAAGAGTGACCCTCAGAGGAGGAGTGAGTTAGAATGTGGAGTATGGAGAGGAGAAGGAAGGGTAGAGAGGAACAGAGAGTTAGCAGCATCCTGTGGATTGGCCTGCAGTGTTATGAGTTAATCCCTTGCCCAGGCTTCTGCAAGCCTGGCTGCATTGTCATGGCCCATGTGCAAGCATGGATTTGAGGAGCAAGATGCTAGATTTAGCTTTGCTTGCACAGGGGGTGCAGCGCCTCCTAATACCCAGAGGTATAATTCTTCTGAGGGTAAATGGTGGATAAAGCATATGCTAAAACCAGCCCTGCCCTTGGACACCTCAGCGGGTAAGAGGCAGTTCACACCCACTTCCCTCCAACCAGGGCAGCTCTGCTGCTGACAGCGGTTTGAAACCATCTCACAATGCGCCAGATTCCAGCAAGTCACCACACATGCTGATGATGGCACCCTGATTCTCAGCATCTCTGGACAGCTCGCGCAGCTGAGGGTTGTCTCAGCCTTGCTGGGATGTGTACATCCTCACTCTGCTAGGAAATGGCTTTGTAATTTTATGTGAGAATCAGTTCAGTTCAGTTGCACAGTCGTGTCTGATTCTTTGCTATCCCATGGACTGTAGCATGCCAGGCTTTCCTGTCCATCACCAACTCCCTGAGTTTGCTCAAACTCATGTCCATTGAGTCGGTGATACCGTCCAACCATCTCATCCTCTGTCATCCCCTTCTCCTCCCACCTTGAATCTTTCCCACTGAAAGGTTGTTGCTGAGCCATGAAAGACACCAGGACTCATGGCCTCTGGAGAAGAAGAATTCAATCCAGGGTCAGTAACGAGGCTTGATCACTCAGAGCTTTTGTGTATTTAATAAAGTTTTATTAAAATATAAAAGAGATAGAGAAAGCTTTTGACATAGACACCAGAAGGGGATAGAAAGAGTGCCTGCCTGCTAGTCTATACCTATCAATGAGTTGTTAATTAGAGAAAGGAGATGATTCAAAACTCAGAGTGGCACTAAGCCCCTCAACCACAACATTCATATTGAGATAACATTGGCACCAGGTGAATCATCCCAGGCCATAAAAGGATCCACATGAATCTTGAAGAAAGGCAGGTTTCCAAGTAAATATATGGTTTCATTAACATAGATTAGGAGAACAATGTATGAGTAAAACATACAGGTTTGTTGAGCCCTTATAGGTTCTGAGTCTTAAGTAGAACTTGCTTAAGACTTGAAGAGAGAGTCTAGGGTAAATACACAGTTCATTAACATAGCTTAAGAAAAGCATTTCCATAAGAAAAACGCATTGGTTAGCTCAAGGTTTGAGAAAAGTTAAGTTCAGGTGGAGCCAGGTGTTGTCATGGCAACATAGAATTTTAAGAGAAGCCTCCTTTTAATTTTGTATACAGAAAAAAATTTTGTATACAGAGAAAAATCAGACACTCATAGTTTGTTTCCTCCTGCCGCTTAAGAGAGAGATAAGAAACATTTGACACTTGCAGCCTATTTCCTCCATTTGGAGACCCCCCCCCTAGCCTTCCTGCCTGTTACTCTCTCACCAGCATCAGGGTGTTTTCCAATGAATCAGTTCTTTGCATCAGGTGGCCAAAGTATTGGAGCTTCAACTTTAGCATCAGTCCTTCCAATGAATATTCAGGACTGATTTCCTTAAGAATTGATTGGTTTGATCTCCTTACAGTTCAAGGGACTCTCAAGAGTCTTCTCCAACATCACAGTTCAAAAGCATCAACTCTTTGGTGCTGAGCTTTCTTTATGGTCCATCCATACATGACTACTGGAAAAACCATAGCTTTGACTAGACGGACCTTTGTCAGCAAAGTAATGTCTCTACCTTTTAATGAACTGTCTAGGTTTGTCATAACTTTTCTTCCAAGGAGCAAGCATCTTTTAATTTCATGACTGCAGTCACCATCTGCAGTGATTTTGGAGGTCAAGAAAATAAAGTCTGTCACTGTTTCCCTTGTTTCCCCATCTATTTGCCATGACGTAATGGGACCGAATGCCATGATCTTAGTTTTCTGAATGTTGAACTTTAGCCAACTTTTTCACTCTCCTCTTTCACTTTAATCAAGAGGCTCTTTAGTTCCTCTTCACTTTCTGCCATAAGGGTGGTGTCATCTGCATATCTGAGGTTATTGATATTTCTCTTGAAAATCTTGATTCTGGCTTGTGCTTTATCCAACCCCGCATTTCACATGATATACTCTGCATATAAATTAAATAAACAGAGTGACAATATAGTCTTGTCATACTCCTTTCCCAATTTGGAACCAGTCTGTTGTTCCATGTCCAGTTCTAACCGTTGCTTCTTGACCTGCATACAGATTTCTCAGGAGGTAGGTAAGGTGGTCTGGTATTCCATCTCTTGAAGAATTTTCCATAGTTTGTTCTGATCCACACAGTCAAAGGCTTTGGCCTAGTCATTAGGCAGAAGTAGATGTTTTTCTGGAACTCTCTTGCTTTTTCTATGATCCAGCAGATGTTGACAATTTGATCTCTGGTTCCTTTGCTTTTTTTCTGAATCCATCTTGAACATCTGGAAGTTCTTGGTTCGTGTACTATTGAAGCCTAGCTTGGAAAAATTTGAGCATTACTTTACTAGTGTGTGAGTTGAGTGCAATTGTGTGGTAGTTTGAACATTCTTTGGCATTGCCTTTCTTTGGGATTGGAATGAAAATTGACTTTTTCTAGTCCTTTGGCCACTGCTGAGTTTTCCAAATTTGCTAGCTTATTGAGTGCAGCACTTTAACAGCATCATCTTTTAGGATTTGAACTAGCTCAGCTGGTATTCCATCACCTCCTCTAGCTTTGTTTGTAGTAATGCTTCCTAAGGCCCAGCTGACTTCACACTCCAGGATGTCTGGCTCTAGGTGAGTGATCACACTATAATTGTTATTATGTGGGAATAACAATTTCATTTATTAGTATACAAATTATATCTTTCATGATTAAAGTATTGGTGTGCTCAGATTCACTGTTTATATTATACTATTATATATTCCTTATGACTTGCTAAGCTTAATCACTTTCTTCTGCCTCTGTCTGGATTGAGTAACATTAGTCTTTAGAGTTGGGCTTCCCTGCTACCATTGTTTAGATGGTAAAGAATCCTCCTGCAATGCAAGAGACTTGGATTGAGAAGATTCCCAGGAGGTGATACTCATTCCAGTATTCTTGCCCTTGGACAGAGGAGCCTGGTGGGCTACAGTCCATGGGCAAAGAGTCGGACATGACTGAGCGACTAAGCACAGCACAGCACACCGTCTGTGTGTGGGTGGTTAGACACCCCGATCTGGCGTTGTTGATTAGTACACACTGATCCTTTTCTTGCTAAAAGCAGAGCCTGGAGCTTCCTTAGTTGAGAGCTGCTGCTGCTGCTGATTGGAGTCTGGTCCTCTTTTTTGAACTCCCTTCTCACCCTCTGCACAGCTCTGTAGGCCAGTCCTGCTCAGAAGAGCTGCTGGCTGTACTCTGAGCTGGGAGATAGTAGAAAGGACCCTCGAGGCCTTCCCTGGTGGTCTGGTGGTTAAGACTCTGAGTTTCCATTGCAGGGGGCGTGGAAGCACTCCCTCGTAAGGAAACAAGATCCCTCATGCCACAAGGGCATCCCCGCCAAAAAAGGTCCTGGAGTGCAGCAGGGGCTCCCCTTGCTGCCAACATCCAGACTCAGGCCTCGCTTCTGTAAGAAAGTGGGCAATGTAATGGGTGGGTAGAGGAGACGCCATGAGGTTTCCCCCGAACTTTCCTTAGAGTAGCCTTTCTCAACTGCGTGCTCAGTGGACCAGTTGGGGAGCTGTTGATGCTGCTGCTTAGGCCCATCTCCAGGGGTTGTTCTGTCATGAGCTAGGTAGCAAGACTGTCAAGATCCCCAGACAAATCTAGTGTTTGGCTAAGGTGGAAAGCCACTGCTATAGAGTGTGTACTCCTTGTTAGGATTCAGCATAGTGCCTCAGTATTTGAAAAGGTAAGGTGGGTAAGGAGCTAGGTTGGCTGGTGTGGTGTGAGCCATGGGCGGCAGTGCTTTCTGCTCCAGCCCCACCTTGACTCAGAGGGGTCTGGTGGCAAAGATACGTTCATCTGTGCCACTTCCTGGCCTGCAAGGGAGCCTGTGCACCGAGCGCTTCCTCCAGACCTGTGGGGGTGAGGCAGGAATGTATTTTCACATGGATGGTTCAGATGGGTTGTGTGTTAACCTTCAGAGAAGTCTAGTGCTGAGAGTCAACTTGATCCTGTAGCTCTGTAGCACTCTTGTCATTGTTTACCCCTCAGCATTTGCCTTTCTCGTGGATGTGTGTGTGTGCATGCTTCTTGTACCTGCAAGTGCTTTGAAAATATTTAGGTTGCACATGTGCCTCTCACAATATGAATACTGGGACTATTTTCATTTTCCTTCATTTATGACAGATTGTGTGAGGTGCTCAACCTTGATCCAAGACAAGTCCTGATTGCAGAAGTGATCTTCACAAACATTGGGGGAGCTGCCACTGCCATTGGGGACCCACCAAATGTCATTATTGTTTCCAACCAGGAGTTGAGGAAGATGGTATGTATCACTATAATCAGATTGTTTTCAATAAATATAGACCCCAGCTTACTTGCACATTTAGTAACATTTTACCAACACAGATATCACTTCTTCTTATGCAGTGTTCTTGGTCATCCTGAGAGTGGGAGGTTAGGTGACTAATCCTCTAATGTAGTGGTCTGAATTGACTTCATTCTCATTCTGGTAAAATTTTAAGAAAATGATTACATTTTCTATTTAGTCATAGTATGCTATAATATATTAATGGGAATTGAGGTTTCTTCCAACAATATTAAGAATAAAATGATCTGCTCCCTCTCATTTTTCAACTGAGGTGGGTGAATAAGAGCTTAAGTTCTTTAAGATAAAGATGAGAAAATGAAGGTCTGTCAGGATTCTTGGTAAGCTCTTATAAATATTAATATATAATTTCTTGTAAACAAAAATAAAAGCAAAGTATTAAAGAGAGTGCAAATGGTATTTTACATATCTTAAAGTTAAATTATACAATTAATTTTCATTTGTCATTCTCTGATCATTAGAATTTTCTCAACATCTCTTCTCTGAAGTATCAGTAAAAATGCTTTCAAATTGGTGTCACTTATTATAGGTAATACATTTATGCCTGTGTGTCTCTGAAGTATGTTAGCATGTTTGTGTATATTTGCTGTCTTTCATAAAAATATTTATGCCTTTGAGTGTTCATGGCTCTAAGGTTTTGAAGGGCATTTTGTGGGCCTACTGTGTTCTAGAGATTCAGGGCACAACTTAGACACTTTGGCTAAATTTTAACGCTCCCTGGTTGCTCCGAAAGCCAACTGTGACGCTTCACCAGTCTTGCTGCATGAGCTGAGTGGCAGGCCCCTCCTGGTCATGTCACATGAGTACACCAGAAAGTGTGTGAACCCTATAATCCCTGGAATTTGCTTTGGAGGCATCTGTCACCCAGGATATGTTGCATACACATGAGAGAGAGCTATTTTCACAGGAAAATAATGTTTTATTATTTTTATTTTATGGTAATATTTATTTTAGAGAATGTAAATCACACACACACATATCAGAAATAAAAAATTGTCATAATCCCACCACCCAGAAATAAATCCTCTCAATATTTTGGTTAGTTGCTTGGTGGTGGTTTAGTCACTAAGTCTTATCTGACTCTTGCAAACACATGGACTGTAGCCTGGCAGGCTCCTCTGTCCCTGCAATTCTCTAGGCAAGAATACTGGAGTGGGTTGCTATTTCTTTCTCCAGAGGATCTTCCTGACTCAGAGATTGAACCCGGATCTCCTGCACTGCAGGCATATTCTTTACCAGCTGAGCTACGAGGGAAGCTGCTTATTTTGGTGCATGTAGTCTCCACGAATGTTTGTATGTGGATATACATTGGAAAAAAAAAAAAAGCTGCTCTGACCAAGATGGAGTAACAGGGACTATATTTAACCCTCTTGCTTGAGACATCAAAAAAGAAAATAAGCCAAAATCCAAAAAACAAAACCAGAAACAAACCAAAACCAGACAGTGGTAATCAAGGTACTAGATATCAGGTAAAAAAGGGCAGTGAACCCTGAGAATTGGGAAACAAATGAAATGAACTTATGGTTGCCCCAGCTCACTACCTTGAGAGATTTTCCAGGATTCAGTTCAGGGAGACAGAACCCATGTGGAGCCTTCCGTATTCCTAGAGTCGGGGAGGTAGAAATGACTCTGGAGGGAACAAGAGAGAGAACCAGAGAGGGGAGAGTTGGACACAGAGAGAACCTCAGAGTACTTGCAGAGGGAAACTGCCTGTGTCCAGGGGAAGAGTAACCCAAAAAGATTAGAGGGAAGAGTTCTTGATACACTGAGGGCCAAGAATAATGTCTGTTGCTGCCAAGAAGACTGTAAACCTCTTAATTCATGAGGTATTGGCCCTGATTCCACCTAATAAATCTTAAAGACATCAAATAATCAAATTGTTTTTAAATAGTTTAACTACATCCAAAAACAAACATCAAGAATATTTATAGGAATGCAAAAATATCCAACAACACACAAGGTAAAAATCACAATGTCTGAGATCTAATCAAAGATTGCCAGACATGCAAAGAAGCAAGAAAATTTGATCTATCATGAGGAGAGTATGAACCATTTGGCATAAACCCAGAATAGACACAGGTGTTATAATTAACAGACAAGTGCATTAAAACTGTTATTATTATTATTATTATTATTATTATTATTTTTACTGTATTAAGTTAAAAAGAAACATGAAAGATTTTTTTTTAAAAGGCCCAAATCAAACTTCTAAAAATGAAAACTGTAATGTATGAGATAAAAGTCTCTTGTTAGGATTAAAACAGCAAATTAAGAATTTCATAAGAAAAAATTAGTGAACTTAAGGACATAGGTCCAAAATAAAACAGAGTGAAAAGTGATGAAGACATTCATGAGCTAAAGGGAAACTCCAAGTGGCCTAATATATCTATAATTCTTATCTCTGAAGGAGAGGGGAACACAGAAAGACATTTGAAGAAAATATGGTCTAAAAATTCAAATTTTATGAAAGATAAAATCTCAGAGATTCAGGAAGTCCAATGAATTCAGAGCACAAGAAATTTGAAGAAACTACACTAAGCCATATCATAATTGTTACACACATGGAACTTAAATAATGTTATAAACTGATGATACATTGATTTAAAAAAGGGCATAATGGGTTATTTACTTTTTCAAGACCTATACTTTGATTGGATATTTCATTTTGGAAATAATAAGAAATAGTTATTTTAAAAGTAAATTTTAAAAAGATCTATATAAAACAGCTATTTTTAACAGCATAAAATTGAAAAACCTATGTAAAATATTTCAAGAATCAAAGAAGAAAGTGAAATTGCAAAATATTTTGAATTAAATTATGAAAACAAAATTTTTAGGGTTCCTCTCAAGCAGGAGTCAGCAAACTTCTTAAAAAGCCATATAATTACTATTATAGGCATGTGGGCCTTACGGTCCCTGTTGCAATCTCTCAACTCTGCCACTGTTGCAGGAAGGCAGCACATAAATGAATGTGCATGTCTATATTCTAGCCTGCAAGTGTAGTTTTCTGGTCCCTGCTCTAAAACAGTTTTTAGAAGGGAATATATACCATTAAATACCAATTAGAAAAGAAGAAATGTCTCAAATTAGTGACCTCAGCTTCAGTCTGAAGAAACTAGATAAGGAAGAGCAAATTAAACTGAAAGTAAGCTGAAGAGACACAGACCAGCATGGAGAACAGGAAAATAATAGAGAAAATCAGTGAAAGAAAAAGCCAGTTCTTTGATAGGATAAATGATTCTGACAAACTTCTGGCCAAACTGATGAAGAAAATAAGAGAGAAAACATAAATTACCAGTGTCAGGAATAAGAGAACTACATCACTGCAGAGCACACAGACATTGAAGACATTGTTAGGGAGTATTGTGAACAACTGTATGTCAATAACTTTCACAATTTAGATTAAATAGACAATTCCCTTGAAAGACATACTCTACCAAACCTCACTCAAGAGGAACTAGATAACCTCAGTAGCCCTATATCCATTAAAGAAATTGAATTTGTAATTAAAATTCAGAAAGAAAGAACAAAGAAAGAACAAAGCAAAGCAAACAAAAAAACTCAGGCTAAGATAGTTTTCGTGAATTCTACCAAACATTTAAGGAAGCAATGATACTACAATACCAATTCTACACAAAATACTATAGCAAATTGAAGAGGAGAGAATACTTCTCAACTTACTCTATAAGGGCCAGATGTCTAAAGCAGATAAAACCAGGATAAGAAAACGGTGGACAAATACTTTTTATGAGTACAAATAATAAATTTAAAAATTAACTAATCCAATTTAACAACTTATAAAATGAATAACACATCATAATCAGGTGGAATTTATCCTAGAAATGGAAGATTGGTGCTGTATTTGAAAACATCAACCAGTGCAGTTTACTAGCAAACTAAGTGAGAAAATCCATCTGATTATCTTAATAGATATAGAAAAATATTTGGCAAATTCAACATCCATTACTGATCAAATCACTCAATAAAGTAGGGAAAGAAGCGAGCTTCACCAGCCTGATAAAGAGCATCTATGAAAATATTATGGCCAGCATCATAGTTAAAAGAGAAAAACTGAATATTTTCCTGCTTAGATCAGAAACAAGACAAAGGTGTCTGTTCTTACCACTTAAATGCATTTTACTGGAGGCTCTTGGTACAATAAGTCAAGAAAGAAATACAAGGCATCCATACTGGCAAGGAAGAATTAAGTCTGTTTGCATATTACATGATTATTCATGTATAAAATCTGAAGGAATCTACAAAAGAAAAAATCAAAACAAAAACTTCTGACAATCATAACTAAAATTAATAAGTGTACAGTACAGGATCAATATAGAAAAATTAACAGTTTTCTATATTCTAACAACAAACAATTGGAAATTGAAGTAAAAATGCCATTTACAATAGCATCAATATGTAAAATAGGTTAAATCTGACCAAACATATGCAAGAAAACAACAAAATATTGCAGAGAATGATTAAAGAAGATAAAAATAGACGGGGAGATATATTTTGGTCATGGATCAGAAAACTCAAAATCACTAAAGTATGAGTTCTCCCTTGATTAATCTATAGAGTCATGCAATTCCTATAAAAAAACAGCAAATTTTTCTTTTTGTAGAAATTGACAAACTGATTTTAAAATTTATAATGGAAATTCAAAGTATCCAGAATGGTCCAAAACAAATCTTAAAGTGCAGAACAAATTGGGATGGCTAGTACTACCTAATTTCACAACTTATTATGAAGCCACAAATAACAAAAACTGCGGTTGGCATTAAGATAGGTGGAAGGTAAATAGAACAAAGGATATAAATATCAGATACAAATTTCAGATATAAACCATCACGTACATGACTTTTGACAAAGGTGCAAAGCCAATTAAGTGGAAAAAGGATAATTTTTTCACAAATAGTGCTGGAATGAATGTTCATGCA